CTATAGTTACTCTACTAATACATCAGGTGATTTAAGCAAATGGGAAAAGAGATACTGATTCATTTTCTTTATGTATGCCAGATTTAATAGTGAATTACTGCAGAAAAATTTACAGATAATTGGGTATGCATTACCATTTACAAATCTTCTGGATTCGTCCTGTTGATATCTTCAGGGACTTAACTGAAACTGATTTGCATTCTACTCTACCTGTGCCTGCTTGTATACTGTTTGTACTGTGGTATACTGCTTGTCTACTTGTCTCGAATGATTGATTCCCATATTGGTTATCTGGTTGTTACTTGGGAAACGTAAAGTATTATCCGCCTCTGGTTAATCGCGTCTAAACTCTCCAGCAATTTGCTTCCTTATTATGCGAAGATATAAACTGGCCATAAACCAAAAGGATTAAACGGTAATGAGAATAAAACGAAACTTGTGAGACTTTCTTCGCGAAATTTTAAACTACTACACTAGCGTCGGGTTTTATGATTATGGCTCTTTGAGTTAAATAAATTACACAGGCCGCCGTACAAACTGGAGACAGCTTTAAAGGCGAAACGCAGGACTAATTCAAAGGCGATGATAAATTGTGATAAATCGCACACATCGTCGCTTTGCTCCAAACTTTGCCAGTTTACGAAAATTTTATTATTTATAATCCCCGCCGTATATGTCTGTGATAAAATGAGCTTGTTTTCTCGAGAGTTAAAGAAAAACCATGTTTTAACAAATGTCCGCGCAGCCTTTAGCAATTTAGTAATTTAATTGTCTTCGCAAATGGCAAAATAATATATTAATATAATTTTCATTAAAAATTTTGACCATCGTCGTATAATGCTGAATACTGTGTACTGTTCTTACATTGTTTTTTTTTTAACTCATGCCGCATCATGGGGTTAAAATTAATAATGATTTCAATAAGTTCGGATACGCTTAAGACACATCCATCCAATCTTTCGAGCTCCGAGAACATGACAGAAGCAGAAATATGGTTAAATACAACTGTCAATAAAACAAGGTTCATCATTTTTCAAAGAAACTTCCACAGGCTACTGTAATACCATTTACAAATCTTCTGGATTTCCCCTACGTTTGTTGTTGATGAATCGAAGTATTACGCAGGTAGTTTGTAAAATGAATGACCCAATGTTAGGTCTGATTTTCTATTATATAATAGGAATGTCTAAAGATGGGAGACTACTATAAAATGTATGTCACAATGTATAGATTTAAATAATTAAGAAAATATCTAAGGGATTCTTGTGCGTGAAGCCAAATAACAAAGTTTTCATCAACGTAGCGTTACGATAGTTATTGGTTATGTGTCAATGCGTTCCTCTCAAAACATTCATAAATGTATTTGCGACGACTGGTAATAGTGGAGAATCCAGAGCTTTTGTGATATTTGTTCATAGATTTGGCCGTTATAAGAAAAATCTGTTAATATAAATTTAGATAGAAAGGTTTATTTCAGATTCTCCCATTTTAATATACCTGACTGTAAGTCTAAAATAACCAGAATATAGTTTGGATCAGGCTTAATATTTTTAATGGAATTAAGTACGAAACAATCCGATCCCCTTAAACAGTATACAAGAAGGCACACACTACAATTCAAAACAGTTCCAGTTAAGCTCTGAAGGAGCCAGAAGTATGGTTGGCGCAACATCGGTACGTTCGATTTATTTTCATGAGTTTTGACAGCCAACTCCCAGAGTCTTCTCTGCAAGTGAATGGATAAAATATTTCAAGAGTACTATCGAAGCGAATAACTTGGCCCAGCCTAAGAAATAAAATGTAGCTGAAAGGAGTCTTGGTTAGTTTTGAAAATATCTGCTACGGAAATTGACATGTAAAATTTGTCGCAGAACTCTCTTATGATATCTACTTACGGCAATTTTATCTGCACCAGTAAATTCAATTTTATATTATTGCCAATATTTTTAATTCGACCCCTATTTTTTTATAATTTTTTCTTACAATTTCCCGAGCCGAAGAGACTCACAGACTCAATTTCCATTTCGAACTGCTGCAATTTCGCCCGCTTTATCCGCTTTGACACAAACGCAATATTTTTAAATGTAATCCCTCGAAAGTTTAAAGGAACCCCGAACTTTCGAGTCGGGATTGTTGATCAAATTATAGGGAACAAAAGCGATAGGATAGAAAATGCACTTACACTCTGGATAGAACGCACTTCCGCTATCTGCAAAATTAATTATTAACTTAACATTATTGACGGCGGATAAGAATGGACAAAAAGAATTCGGGAGCAATTTCGACCGTTCTTATATGTAAACGCTGTTCACAGGACGGGTCCCGGGTTCGATACTCAGTAGACGTGAAAAAAGAAAGAAAGATAAGAATAAAAATTGAATTAATAGACTTTGTAGCCCTAGTAAAGAAATGAGGAAATTGACATCATGAATTTGAATTTGAATTTCGTCTAAAACTGACTTTAAAAAGTGTTGTCTTGTATGTTGTGCAAACACTAACAAGAATAAAATGGATGTTGCTTGATGTACCGCGAAATTTTGTGTTAGAAAAAGATGATTTGGTGCAGCAAAAGAAGTTTACAAATATCTTCCCATATTTTAACTTGGTACCCACACAAGAAAAATTAGACTGTCTCTGTTATGTAGCCATTTAATCGGGTCATTTTCTCTTCTTTTTAGATTAAGTAGTGACTCCTATGAAAAGAACTGAAGTGGTGAAGAGGTGGACTTTATCATTGACCGCCTTGATCCCTAGATTTAAATCCTTTAGATCTGGGGATATTTAAAGAAATAACAAGAAATAATTCTATCACCACGCAGACATTTTTTACGATATTCACTATAAAAAATTGTATTTTTATTTTGCCTTACCGGTCTTGATTATTTGTTGTGTTTTTATTGGAGATATAACGTTTAAATAAAATATTTTTTAAATGGTTTTCAATGAAATATTTATAAATGAATCATTTTTAAATTTTAATGAGGATACTTCTGGACTGCTACTGCGTTGATTGTTTATAAATCAAACTGAAGTTTTGGCTTCTTCCTCACATAACTGGCCCGCATTCTCTTCTGTACCTGCTTACATATAGTTAAATAGCCGGGGGTGGAGGGAGGGTGAGATAAAGGAGGGGCCTGATGACTGATTCCCATATTGGTGAAAGGTAAAGAACTGAATCGCGGTTGGGACTGTTAATGTTACTTATGGTCTTACAGAAGAATTGATTAAATCGATTATCGATGATGTCCTGAGTTTATTAAAGGCTATTTCATGTTATTTGTGTATAGTTCATATTTTTCCTCGTCGCATAGGCATGGAATGCTGTAAACTGGTATATCAAACGGAATTTTGTCTTTGATGGATCGAAGATGTTGAGAGATTGTTGGACAAGTGGTAAGTCTGGTTTTAATATTGTATTACTTAAGAACTTTTGATATGTGGTCAGTGATGTTTTTTGAATGCAAGGAAGGACCACAGTGGCAAGTGTTGGGTTGATTTCGAACTCATTGTCTTTGAAAAGTTGTGGTGAGGTGTATTTTGTGGAAATGTGGGAGTTATTAGTTAATTCTAAGTTATCGGTCTGTGCGCGTTGGTTTTCTGTAAAGAAAATGACTTTCTTATAAATTTCTGGAAAGAAAATGATTTTCTATTGATAAGAATATCGAAGAATGTGAGATTATTAGTTTTTAAGTCAATGTTAGAGTTTAAATGGCTTAAAAATGAGGCAAATAACAAACGTATCACCAACGTAGCATTTCCATAATTTTGATTTTACATGGAAAGTATGTTCTGAATATATTCAAATATATTCGCGATGACTGGTGATAATGCAGAATCCATAGCCGTCCCTACGTGTTTTCCTAAATTTGACCGTTACAAGGAAAATATGTTTGAGACCAGCATTTTTCAATTAAGATTCGATAATGTTGGAATAGGGACTTTAGTAATTAGGAAATCTACCTCGAAAATAGCCAGAATATCGTTTTTTTTTTCAATGAAATGAAAAAGTTAGTCAGAAGTCAGTAGAAGCTAGATATTTTGTTAGAGAACATGTTGGAGAACCAATGAGAATAGGTCGAAGCGGTAATTTTTATGAATCATTCTGTTTACAGAAAACCTACGCAATAAACCGATAACTTAATGCATTGTCACACCACCATCCTGCCCAACTCTTATTTACAGAGCCTTAAAACTAAAAACAATAATCACTGAACCTAGAACTAAAGCTAAAAAAAGTATTTGCTTTTGTATCAATTGTTCTTAAGAAATATAACGTTAAAACCAGTTTCACCACTTTACCGAAAATCTTTCAACATCTTCTATCCTTAAGAGACTTAAGACTACGACAAATAAACTCCGGACTTGAAATCTTATTCGATAAAACTAATTTTTTTTCTACCGAAGAAATCTAGAACTCAAATTTTTTCTTCAACCAATATGGGAATTAGCCATCCGAGACAATTTTCATTTTCTAGCAAACCTGTCTATAGAAAATTAATTGTTCCCTGCCGTCGTGTAAGTTTTTCTTTAATTGATAGGGGTGCCCCAATTCAATTCCCTCCACTCGTTAAAAAAAAAATTAAAAAAATACTCAGGAAGTATAGTTTTTATAATAGTAATCTGTCCGTGATCTTGTATTGTTGCTATATATGTTTGTTTTTAAGATAAATAATGGTAATTTGGTATCGCAACTACCCTTTATTATAAAGCAAGAATAACCCCGGTTTGGCGCATTTGTTTTAAAACACCCTGTACTCGTTATAAGAGAGAATACGGCAAAAAAGAAAACGTTTCAGGGATTACGCTTCGTTTTTTTTTATCCTATTAGCGTAAGCCCCGGTATTCTTTTTGAGTCGGACAAACGTGCCGCAACAACTTGCCACCCCCCCCCCCCCTCCCGCAGAATCGTCCACCACCTCAATGTTAACAAATCCCTTTGTCCCCGACTCCGTATTGAAATTCGGATTACCACCACCACCACCCGTTTTTCTCTTTTGCAGAGTCAGCGACCGACTTAATTGACGGCAAATATGGCGACGTGTCCGCTCAGCTTATTTACGGGACATTCACTACTCCCCCGAACAGCATATCTGGGAGCGCGGTGTGCGCTTTCAGTCTGCAGGATATTACGGACACTTTCGAAGGCAATTTTAAAGAACAGGCCGCCATAAACTCGAATTGGTTGCCGGTGCTCAGCAATAAAGTGCCGGATCCGAGACCCGGTCAGTGCCACAACGACAGCAGGACGTTGCCTGACCTCACCCTCAATTTCATCAAGACCCATTCGTTGATGGACGAGAGCGTGCCGAGTTTCTTCGGACATCCGATCGTCATCAGGACTAGTTTTCAGTGAGTTATTTAAAAAGAGGCGCACACGGCGGCAGTATCTTAAAAACCTGGCAAAAAGTACAGGCATAATAAATTATGTTCATTTGGTATCACTCTTCAAAAAAAAAAAAACAGCTATTTCATGTGCGAACTATAACACAGATCTAAAATGATTTTGATTTTTGAAAGCTATTTGCATAGTGTATATTTTTGGCGGCCCTTTCCCCAACAAACGCCACCTTTTAGCTCTATCGTTTCATTTTTTTTATAACACTCTATATTTTAAAAATGTTATATACCTATGACATGAATATGTTTGTTTCATGGTAGGCATGATTCTCAAATTAATTGATTTTTATGAAATTAAATATTATTTGGCAACACTGGATAACCTGCTGTTGTCTTCGTTGTTGCGTATTTCTAGTGTTCTAGAATTTATAAATATGGAAAGAAGACATGGCAAATAACTTGTGTTATCTCTGTGGTATGGTCTGTTCATAGATATAAGAAAGTGACCAATTGCTTTTGAATGGGATTATCCAAGGGTGGTCATTAACATACAACAACAAGAATATTACCTAAAGTTTCGGAATTTAAATTTAGGCAAAATTGTGGTCCGTAATAGAAAATAATTTTATACCTACCTGTGTTTAATATTCTTTGGTTCGGTATACTACTTAGTTTAAGTTTATTAGTAATCATTCTTATTTCGTGTGTAATACAGCGTGTGTTGAATCGTGTGCGAATTATGGAAATTATGTGCGAGTCTAGTGTATCTCAGGAGATGCTCCCGCCCAAATGTAAAAAACACTATTCTATTGAGACTAAGGAAGTTATAAACAATGTTTATTTGACTCTCATTGAACGTGGTGCCAGCAAGCACGCATCTTTAGAAGAAACGGCCACATCGACGAAAATTGCAGCATCAACTGTATGGAAAATTGTGAATCTCATTTCAGCGAGGAAAAAAAGAAGCGATGCTGACATTTTCTCGAGTGTAGATGAAAGTGATCAAGATATAATACGGCGTAAAATTTACCAGTTATACGAGGAACAAAGCGTGCCTACATTAGATATCTTAATTAGGAGGCAGAACTACCTTATGGAAGTGTATTCAACACATGGGTTTTAGATTTAAAAAAAATTACAAAAGGCAAGTTTTAATGGAATCTTTTAGAATGCGGAAATGGCGACTGGAATATCTAGAAAAAAATAGGATTTACAGAGAACAACAAAGGCCAATTATTTACTTGTGATACCCCGGAAAAGGGTTGATTTGACTCAACTGATAAGTTGAGTCAAATCAACGCGCCATCAAAAAGAGGTCAAAGAATAACTATTTTGCATGCTGGCTCTAAAGATGGTTGGATTCCAAATTGACTTTCTCTGTCTGCGAAACATATTAAAGATTCTTTTCTGGATTACCATGAAGACACCACCGCTGATTTATTTGAAACTGGGTTTCAAAACAAACTAGTTCCAAACATTCCTCCTAATAGCGTCATTGTAATGGACAATGCAAGTTATCATAGTAGACAGTTGACTAAAACCCCTTCCTCATGTGACATAAATGCAACAATCCAAAACTACATGTATAATAAGAATATGTATTTTCACGAAGATTATACCAAAAAGCAATTAATTGAGATTCTACAAAGGTTGAACCTACAAAAGGAATACGTTTGTGATGATTATGCAGAAAATCTAGGGCATACAGTTTTAAGGCTTTCACCTGTATATTTAATTCCATTGAACATGTTTGGCACCAACTGAAAACTGCTCTTCTTCGTAACAATGTTTTGCCCCGTGTTAACTCCAATGTCCTCAAACTTATAGAAACCGAAGTTTTTAACATCCCTCCACAGAGTTGAACAAATTCTGTTAAATATATAAAAAAAAGCAGAAGAATCGTATATCCATATTGCAAATAATATAGAACAAATAATAATTAGAACAGGCGATGATAGCGATAGTGATACTGATATATTATGTGAATGATTTTAAGTAATTTAAGTAGGTAATAAAAATATTTTGTAATTTTATTTTAGATTTAAACATATGTACATACATAAATAAATAAATATTGTTTAGTATCTTTCCTAAGAAAACCCCAAATAATTAAATTCTAAGCAAAGTACGGACCTGTTCGGCCATATTTCATTCTTACAGCTTGCCCGAGTCTTTCCTTAATTCGTATCAGTTAGTCACTTTCTTATATCTATGAACAGACTTTACTTATATCGTAGTAAAGGCAAACTATAAATTCTTTTTTGAAAAATGTATACCTCGCTTATTTTGGTTTTAAAATTCTGTACGTTTAAAAGAAACGTATTTTGAACAAAATAAACTACCAAGAACATCAGTGGTTGCTTTGTGGCGACCTTAAAGTGCTGTGCATGCTCCTAGGACAAAAGAGGGGGTTATACAAAATGACCATGCTTTATTTATGAGTGCAATAGTCCTTCAAGAGATATACATTGGACTCAATTATAATGGCCTTCTTGTAGCAAAAATGGATTAAGAGATAGCTTACTTGACCCCAAAAAAGTTTTGCTGCCTTCTCTTCATATCAAACTTGGCTTGTGAAGTTTGTTAAAGCCCTAGACAGAAAGGACAGTGTCCCAAATATTTGTGCAAGAAAATTCCATCCATATCTAATGCCACGATAGAAGAAGGTATTTTTGTTGGGCCACAGAGAAGAATATTATGCAAAGACAAGGATTTCCAAAACACGACGATCAATGTCGAGAAAAACTCTGAAGAAGTAGGTGATGGTTTCTTGGGAACTCTAATGACGAAAACTATTGTGCAATAATGTTCGGAATATGTTACAACACTTTCATCGTCTAGGTTGTAATATAAGTTTCAAAGTGGATTGCCTGTTTTCACACTTGAACTATTTGCCTGAGAACAGAGAGAGAGGACATTAAGGAAATGGAACGGCGATACCAAGGCAGATGGCGGACTACTGCCGAATGTCTGAACAACGCAACTTTCTGGTAAAAAGACGAAGATTTCACTCAGAAAAGTCTGAGTAAAGTTTTTTTTTCACTTCTCTTAACTAGGATTCCACTATTTTACTCAAAAAAACAAATAATTTTAGAAATATCTTTTTTTTTCTTTAATATTTGCGAAAAAACCTTACGTGATACAAATAAATGCATAGAATTTTTGAAATCATTCTACCAAAATTATATAAAATCATTTTTCAAAATAAAAACATCTGTTAAAAAGTTTAATTTTGTGGACCTGTGTAATTTATATCCACATTAACATGAAAATGATACTTGAGAAATAAATTGAATCGACTTCCATTTCACTTCATTATTTCAGCCAAATGAAATAAAATTTTATGTACCTTAATTGGCATGTTGTACTAAGGATATTTCGCAATAAGCAATCTAGCTGTCTGTAGACAGTATCCTTTAAACAAATCTATTTTTATAAAAGTTTAAGTATTACTTTTTCGCGATAAATAACCTCTTGATCTATACCAGTTACTTCTGAAGACAATCAGAATTCTCGAAAAAGCATCTGGCTGGAACCTGGAATAGGTTTACCTACTAATAATATAAATAATAAAATACTACTACTATACTATAATGTAATAATAATAATAATAATAATTTTTCTTAAACGTTCTTTTAAATTTAATTTTTTCTTTCGACTACTATTATCTTATTTTGTTCTCCTCTTGCTTGTCAGCTCTTTATTGTTAATTTATTACACGTATGTAGATTATATTCAAAAACTCTTATCTAAGCGTGTAATACAGAGATTCCAAAATTAAAAGTTGAAGTATCTACTTGTCGGTCTAACATTTCAGCAAATTTGATGAACTGTTGAGATATGGCTTCCCAAAGTGAGTAGAACTAGTCGAAGTAGCTACATTGCACACTTTCCCGTCTATCACTGTAAAATTTAGCACATGCTTCATCGTGCATATTAATCCCAAGTCAGCGTTCACAGTTGTTGGAGTAAGCTGATTAATTTGATGTTCAATGTGGTTGTTTCCTCTTTTGACACGAATTGTGATGGGATGACAAAATTTGGGAGATCCTGATCTCGAATTCTGAGAATTTTTTTTTTTATTTTGAATGACAGAAATAAAATGCTTTCACCACAACCGTCTGAATATTTAAAACGTGTTATGTTCCGAACTTCTATCGCAGCCCCATTCTGATATTAAAGTCAACCAGACGCTCTGCTGAGTGGTTCAATAGGGCTTACAATTCAGATGATATTTCAGTTATGTCAAGATCCTTGGCATAACAAAGTTTCTATGTTTCTTGTTTTTTTTATTATCTATTTTTGTCGGTTTCCTAGACTAACTGATATTGGTGCATTTTGAAATTGGCCTCCTAAAACAGTGACAATGCGTCTTCATCAGTAAGTTGAACAACAGACTCTCATTTTGTTTTAAATGACTTTTTGTACTCCATAGCTCTAGTTGGAGCTTGGAGTTCTCTCACAACTGCAGCAGCATATACATTTCCTTCTTTCCTGAGATTCATCTGAGCAGTTACTGTTGATCTTAAGCTCTTGGTTTTACGGCATTTAATTTTTTTACCGGAACTAGTAAAATCTACAGATGAATGTGTAAACATTGATAACTCAATCACTGTTTTTAACTAGAGGAGATATAAACATGTCCTTTGTATACCGAGCTCTCACATCAACTCTGTATGAATAAGTATAGGCAGTGTTTATCCTCCAGATTTGATTTCTTAATATTTGTAACTAAAAAAAGTGTTGTTTTCTTATTAAAGCAGTAGACGCCAGACAATTCAATATATTGTTTTTACGGCCAGTGGTGGAAGGGGGGAAACTATTTTTGTGGAGTGTTTTAGTTGAATATTTTTACTATGCAACATAGTAAAAATCTTTATCGGGAGTGATCGGGCACTATACTTTCGGGATATGTTTTGTTTTATTTTAACATCCATACCTAACACCCATTTGTAAAACTAAATTGTATTAGTGAATTTAGGATCTTATGCTGGCTAATCTAGCGTAGTGTCCATTTCTAAAAATGAACAGCGACCAGTTTTCCGTAATATGAAATTAAGAGAATTAAAATTCGCAATGTATCATCAAGCTGAACTAAAAATAACCGACTAATAAAAAGTAAGTAACAATTTATTTTTCTGAACTGTCAGATAGATGCCTTGCTAGCCAATACAGAGTAAAAATAGCGCATACCTTGATAATTTTGTATGCATATTTTTGGCCAGGTTTTCAAAATTCTGCAGTTCTATGCGGTGTTTTAATGCGAATCTAGAATAAAAAAAGTTCAAATATTCCAAAAATATAAATATACCTCTTGATCAAAGTGCCGAGGAAATACAGTGAGTCACGCACAGCCTTAAAACTAAATAAATACAATAATTAAAATATTTAAAAACCCAATCGAATTTAGAAAAAGATAAGTAGAATCTTTAATGTAAACGATAAGCATGCAAAAGTAAACATACTCCAAGATGCAGTGATGCAGAGATGGGTCAAAAAGTTGATACCGATGGCAAGTTCCTTTTTTTTAATAAAACTCCATTTTTTTTTAAATCTATTTTCGAATTCTGTGGTAAATTACAGGCATAATTCATGTAACGTACCCTATATCTACCTCTTACTTGTTACTTGTTAGAAACAAAAGAGTAAAAAACAGAAATTTAATTTTTGCTTAAATTGTTACAATTACATTTTTGCCAGTAAAGAACCTGAATATATGAAATTCGACAGTTTGAGTTGGTCTCGACGTGTAAGTTCATTATGCGCAAATTTCTGGGCTCTTATATGTTTGATGAGACGGCTCAAATCATTTATTAGTTTTGACACTCTACACTATCATATGGAGTCACTGTATGGGGTATCAGCACAGCTGCAAAAAGTGCCTTTATGTATTAGTTGGAGCGGATAACCACCTACCTATCTGCCGTGTCTGTATTTATACTATACTCTGTTAGAAATTCATTCAAAAAATGGATTTGCCTTCCTCTTCAAATCTACACAACCATCACTTAAGAAATTCTATTCTTGAAATTCCTTAATTTAAATAAACCTAATATAAGAAAAACTCTCCGGACTTCAAGACTCACAACTGTCTTCCTGATAAAATAAAAAAATATAATTTTAAAGATTTTGAAAAAATATATTAAATTTTTTCTGATTGTTTTTACAGGCTGAAAGAATTTCAAACATAGTCAATAAAATTCTATTCTATTCTACTCTTGTCGATCAAAATGGGGCGGAACACCATCCTGTTGAAACCAAATCTAAAATTTCGTTCACTTATACATTCCCTCAGCAATCACCCGTTCTCCCAGTTGTTCTGAAAGAACCCTTCCCAGGAGTATGTTGTTTTACTCACTAATATGTTTTTAGTGAGTTTTTAAATTTGCTTTCGTTGTTAATAAGTCTAATAGAGTCTGGCAAGTGATTATAAATTTTAATAGGCATTACATGACTGCATGACTGCTTCTCATGGTGCGAGTCAACCCAATTTATTAGCTGATTGGATCTAATAATAATAGTAGTTATCTTTAGCTCCCTGAAGAGGTCTCTACAAGAAGAGGTATTTTTTTAAAACAACACAACATAAAAGAGCACCTATTTATTTTGTTAGTAACTGATGTGATATAATTTTCCCCAGGTGGGTTAAAAGCTTAGTTTATACCCAAAAATTTTACTGCTTTACTCTGCTGAATAGAACCAACCACTGTCTCAGATTATGAAAATATTCCTGTCCGGTTGCCTATAAGAGAAAAGAACTGACTCTGTTTTAGTCATATTCAAATTCAATACGAATGCATATCAAAGATTTGTTTTTTATATTCCTTTAGTCATAAAAAGTAACAGATAATTACGCGTGAAATTTGACGCAGAATTCGAAAAAGGGTTTAAAAAAAAGCCGTTCTATTTAAAAAAAAAAAGCAACTTGATATCAACATCATCTTTTTGACCCACCCTTCATCTTTTCTAGTTACTACAAAAGATGCCAAAGAAAAAATTATATCTAACCAAAACTAATTTAACTTAAAAATTAACAATTCTAAACAAATAAAGGTTTTTCTAAAATACACCTAAAAACACCTTTGCGAATTCGGCATTATTTAAAGTTTTTAAATATTATATAGATACAATTTTCATTATTTGTATTCTTGTAGTATATGGGTTATTTTTATGTTTGGTTTGCATCTGATAAAACACTGTGCGTCATCCCGCCCGCTGTACCCGGTAGTTTATTATTAAATTTCTCTCTCCAGAGGGCTCTCGCGTTCTAGAAAATTCATGAGCGCTCGGTTTCCTATATCCGACGGTATTAACGTTAACTACTTTTAATTAAAAGCGGTAACAAGACGCCATTTTCGTAGGGTTTTCTTTATTATAGCAAAATTTCAGCTATATACGTAGTGTTTAAAAAATATTTAAGAGGGTGATTCCTCAGATCATTTTATGAAAGAAGTTCCCATAAATGTAGGTTTCTAAGACACACGGTGTTAAGGTTTCCTTTTTAAATAATCTTTTTTACATTAATTCAAATATCTTCTCACTGAATTGTTTGATATTTTCCAGTTTTTTTCAGTTTATAGTGATAAGCGACTGATTTGGGATTAACTAAATAAAAATTAAACAGTGAGGTTAAGGGGTGAGGGCAATAATATTTGCGAACTATTGAAATTGACTTTAATCCGCTTTAGTCCGATCTTGGAAGTAAGGCATTTCCGGGCCAACATTTAAGGGAACTTTTTTCAAACACCCTGTTTATGGGAAAAAAACAGAACGCAAAAATTGCGATAACAATATTGTAAGCACATTTTTCTTTCAGCTACAGATTTACTCAAATAGCAGTAGATCCCCAGGTGAAAGTTCCAGGGGGCAAGACGTACGACGTACTGTTCATAGGAACGGGTAAGTTTGAAATTTTACTTACGGATATATATTTTTTTTTTTAATTTTGTTTTGCAGAAAAATAATTCTAAAAAACAAAGTCCATTAATGTTCCAAAATTAATACAATGCAACATTTTGTAAAAAACAATAATAAATAAAGATAAGTTATTTACATACAGGTTAGAATATTAAAGAAGAGTTCCAAAAATTAAAGAAAAACATGCGAAACTATGCCATTTTTGACTCCATAGTAATGGCGAAAACAAAAATGCAATTTAATATTTCCACGTATTGCAACAACAAACTGTTTTTATATACGGTTTTTGTTAGAAATAAGAAAATTAAAAAGAAAAAAAGTAAAATACTGATGCCGTTTTGAGGGTCATAAAGACAATTTATTAATTGTTTTCTCAGACAACGGTAAACCCAGTAAAGCGATAAACGAACTGTTTTCTAAACGGTCTTTATTAAAAATAAGTTGAAATATTAAACGAGAGTTCGTGACATAAAAGAAAAAAATGCTATGCCAATTTTAAATTCATATCAATTTTTAAAAAATACAATTTAATATTCTGATACATATAGATGTTTGTTTTTTGCTGCAAATCAGTGTGTTTTTTATACGTGACAAAATACAATTTAATATTACGATATATTAAATGTTTGTTTGCTGTAAATCGGTTTATTTTTTCGGAAATTAATTGGAATATTAAACAAAAGTTCGAAAAATAAAAGATAATAATGAAAAACTTGGCCATTTTTAGATCAATAATAATTGCAAAAACAAAATACAATTTAATATTTCAGTCCATACAGATATTTGTTATTACTGCAAATCGGTATGTTTTTTATACCGAGTTTGTTGAAAATAAGTTGGAATATTAAACAAAAGTTCGAAAAATAAAGGAAAACATTTTTAGATACATAACAATTACAAAAACCAAATACAATGTAATATTGCTATACACATAGTGTTTGCTTTTTTTTGCTGCAAATCGGTGTGTTTTTTTATACGGGGTTTTAAAAAATAAGTTGGAATGTTGAACAAAACTTCGTGAAAAAAAAAAATACAAAAGCAAACTAAAATTTAATGTAATCGATTTAGTTTTTATACGGGGTGTTTTAAAAATAAGTTAAACAAAAGTTCGAAAAATAAAAGAAAACAATGAAAAATTAGGCCATTTTTAGATCCATAACAATTACAAAAACCAAATACTAGGTAATATTGCTATAGATATAGAGTTTGCTTTTTGTTTACTGCAAGTGAATGTGTTTTTATACGGGGTTTAAAAAAATAAGTTGGAATGTTACACCAAACTTCGTGAAATAAAGAAAAATGCAAAAGCAAACTAAAATTTAATATTTCGATGCAAATGGATGTTTATCTGCTGTAAAATGATTTATTTTTTATACGGGGTGTATTGAAAATAAGTTGGAATATTAAATATAAGTTCAAAAAATAAAAGAAAATTAAAAATTAAGACATTTTTAGATCCATAACAATTACAAAAACCAAATACAATGTAAATATTGCTATACATATAGAGTTTGTTTTTTTTTGCTGCGAGTCGGTGTGTTTTTATCCGCAAAGCAAGCAAGCAAAATAAAATTTAATATTTCGATACATATGGATGTTTATTTGCAGTAAATCGGTTTATTTTTTATACGGGGTATGTTGAAAATAAGTTGGAATATTAAACAAGATTTCGTGACATAAAAGATAAAAAATGCCAAACAATACCATTTTTTAGTCTTCCCGTAATCGCAAAAAGAAAATGAAGTTTGCTGTTATCGAGTGTGTTTTTTATACGGGGTGCTGATGCTGATGTCGTTTTTAGCGTTATGAGGATAATTTCTTGATTTTTGTTTGTGCAGACAACGGTAAAATCATTAAAGCGGTGAACGGACTGTCGGCCGAAACCAGACATGGCGTGCGACCGGTAGTGGTCGAGGAGATCCAAGTATTCCCGGTCCACGTTCCCGTCCGCGGATTGAAAATAATGAAAGGCGGCGGCAAAGATGAAGGCAGATTGATAGTGGTCTCGGATACGGAAGTGCAATCGCTTAGATTGCACAGATGCGACAGCAATAAAATTTCCAGCTGCAGGTAAGATTCTCCCCGTTCAGTTCGCTTTTCTTCTTCTATTTTGCAAATGTTGGTCCTTTATTGAATGGGTGGGGGGGGAGGTAAAAATTCGCGCTATCGATTCATTTGTTTTCTCATTGTTACACGAATGATTGCAGATATATTAGATTAATTTTAGTCGACATACACGGGTATTTCACGGTTATAGATATATATAGATATTATAGAAAAAAACAGTACTTATATATATAATAATCATATATTACACATTTTACATGTAGTCAATTATTTAAAAACCTAGCAAAAGAATATTGTATTATATTTACTAATCTTTTGGATTCCTCCTGCACCGGTTGTTGATAATTCAGCATTATTGTTAAATATTTCACGGGCAAATATTTGGATAATACGAGGAAATACGAAGAAATATTGGGAAATACGGAGGAACATAGGGAAGATAGATAACATTTTTTTCGAAATTTTGGTTAGTTGCTGGTTTCCTCGTCTTCACTTTCACTTTCAGTAAATATTACTGAACTTTTCATTGGGCAGTTTCCATTAGTGTTAAATATTTCACAAAAGGAAATACGGGAAATATTTAGCAATATGGACTAATACAGGGAAATACGGGGAAATATTTGGATAATACGAGGAAATTCAGAGACATATAGGAAAATACGAAACAATATCGGGATATACGGGGAAATATTTGTGTGAAATATAGATAATAATTTTCGAAATTTTGGTTAGTTGCTGGTTTCCTCGTCTTCACTTTCACTTTCAATAAATATTACTGAACTTTTCATTGGGCAGTTTCCATTAGTGTTAAATATTTCACAAAAGGAAATACGGGAAATATTTAGGAAACATAGAATAATAGAAGAGAAAATATTTGGTTAACACGAGCAAATGCGGGAAATACGGGGAAATATTTGCTGGTTTCCTCCTTCTCAATTTCACTTTCACCCGATCCCGATTGATATTTTAGGCCTATACTTCATGTTTATTGAAGAAACATTATGCACAACTCGGCGTTTAATTTAAAACGCAAAATCTTTATGTTAAACATAAAGAATTTTTCATTTGTGGCGCACTTAAATAATACGTATTACATGATTTTTTTTAAAGTAGCTTTTAAAATACTTCATATAATTTTGTACTTTTGTTTTGTCGCAAAAAGTCCGCTTTAATAATAATAATAACTCGAACGATCGCTTTTGTTTTAGCGAATGCGTAGCGTTGCAAGATCCATACTGCGCCTGGGACAAAGTGCAGGGCAAGTGTCGCTCCAGAGGCGTCGGTAGATGGGGCGAAGAAAGCTATTTCTTCCAAAGCGTCTCGACGGGCGAGCATACCGCTTGTCCGCCTCAAAAAAGCAAAGACGCCGGCTCGGTCGGCGGTCTAAGTTCGAATCAGCCGAAGTTCAATTCGGATCACATGCCAAATAAAGATCAGCCTGACGGTCAGATCATCAATATTATCCAGGACAAACCGTACGAAAATACCGGTAAGCAGAGCAGATTAGGCAGATTATATATTTGAATTATTACTGTCTTCTTTTTTTGCATTATCTCAAATTTCAAAAATGCTACTGCAAAACTTAATATTCGCTACTAGCTATATTTTTAGAGGGATAAAACTTCAATGGGATTGAGAGTGTCAGCTAAGTCAGAAAATTGAGAAAATTCCGATTCTTCGTAACTCGTTAATTTCAAGAAAACCATGCAAAACTTTTCGCAAAAAATATTGTCTAAATCAGTTCAATGCACATTTCATTTAAAAAGTTGAGATAAATTATAGCTCCCTTTTTTTTTAAATAAATTTTTAAAAACGTAGAAAAGTACGGGTTGTTCTATTATAATTTTGAATATTGATAGTGGTAGTTTAAAATGGCCACACCCCGTGGACACAACAAGTGAATTCCGGTGGTTAAGAAGATATATTTCTTAAGAAAGAAATGCGATTGTTAAAGAGGTGCTTCTAGAATACTTCTTAGTCCACCTCTGATAATTTAATGTTGGTAGTTGCATCTAAATACACAACTCTTATCCCAAGGTTTTGAAGTTACCCATACACCCTTATTGAAAATGAAGTGGCCACTATAATGAAAAAAGTTTAATGTATTTTTTTAATATATATTTACATTATTTTAATTATTATTTCTGAAAAGCTCAGTGAAAATTGACTTTATATCTACAAAAACGTTAATGTCATGGTGTTTCAAAAATCTGAGCACTACTTTCCCAGTAACCATTAAAAAGACTCTTTGACTAGACTCTTTGTTGTAGAAGTGCTAAAAAGGTAAAATGATGTTTAAGACATTTATTAAGATATTATCTAAAATATATTCTGTAATCGGTAATAAATAAATAAAAGAAATAAATAGTAATATATGATCTATAATAAATTATTGCCCTTTTGACTAGGCGCAAAGTTGTGTATTTTTAGAAAATATCATTTTTAAAGATATTGAATTGTCAAGAATTGTTTTTTTTTTATTATATTTAGCTGATTACATGTCTTTTATTAATATTAAGTCGATTTTAGTCAATTTTTGAAAATTTTGAGCACTAGTTTTTCAAGAATTCAGATTCTAGGTTGACTATTTTTAGGAAATATCATTTTTTAAGCACAATGAACTGCCACAGGAATATTTTTTTATTATATTTAGCACTTATTACGGCCTACATTTTTTATTATTATTAAGTCTTTCTTATTATTTATTTTAGTATGCGTAGAACCAAAAAATCTTGTTCCTGTGACTCAGTCTATTCAGTAATATCGAGTTTTTTATGATTCTTAACCGACTTAACTAGCGAGTTAGTTAATCAATAATATCTATTCCTTTTTGATAACAATAAAGATTTTTGTATAGTTCATCCGTTTCTCGTTATTGCTTCATATACATGGCGTTTCCTTTAAAATATTTTCTACTAATACATTTGGCTTGTACCTTAAAATTTACACTTTCTAAAAAAAATTTGGATACGCCACTGAATTCTGGAATCTACGCAGCCAAAGAAGAATTCGAAAATAATGCGACAAATGCTGAAAATTCGTTATTTATAATTTATAATAAAATAGTAATAATTTCGACAATATAAGTAATGCGCATTATTATTGAAAATTTTCAAAAAGGGTATAAAAAGCGCAATTAATTTGTTTCAAAAAATATACAGGATGTCCCATTCTTATTGCCGCTTTCTAGTCCCGAAATAATGACGTTCACGCGTTTACTTGCAAACTTTCGGTTTAATTCTTTTACGTAGGCCCCTCGGTGACCGCAACAGACGCTCTTCCGAACCAATATTCCGTCGAAACGCTCATAATGGCAGTGGTGGCGGGTGCCGTGTCCGCCTTAGTCGTCGGTTTCATCGCCGGCTACCTCTGCGGCAGAAAGTGCCATAAAGACGAAGACGACAACCTGCCGTACCCGGACACCGAGTACGAATATTTCGAACAGCGTCAAAATATGAACAGGTATGGTCTGTTCATAGATGTAAGTATGTGACCAATTGCTTTTGAATGGGTCCAAGAGTGGTCATTAACATACAATACAACAAGATTATTACCTAAAGTTTCGGAATTTAAATTCAGGTAAAATTGTGGTCCGTAATAGAAAATAATTTTATACCTACCTGTGTTTAATATTCTTTAGTTTGGTATACTACTTAGTTTAAGTTTATTAGTAAGCATTCTTATTTCGTGCGTAATACAGCGTGTGCGTGTGTTGAATCGTGTGCGAATTATGCAAAATATGTGCGAGTCTAGTGTAACTCAGAAGATGCTCCCGCCCAAATGTAGAAAAATTTACCAGTTATACGTGGAACAAAAAGATGAAACCGGTGTTAAATGTGGCAGAACTATCTTCTGGAAGTGTATTCAACACATGGATTTTAGAGAATTGACAAAATGGCGACTGGAATATCTAGAAAAAATTAGGATTAACAGAGAACAACAAAGGCCAATTATTTACTTGGATGAAACCTGGTTCGACACTTATGAAACCCGCAAAAGGGTTGGGTTGACTCAACTGATAAGTGTAAAACAAACGCGCCATCAAAAAGAGGTAAAAGAATAACTATTTTGCATGCTGGCTCTAAAGATGGTTGTATTCTAAATGGACTTTCCCTGTCTGCGAAAAATATTAAAGGTTTTTCTCTGGATTACCATGAAAACACCACCGCTGATTTATTTGAAAGTTGGTTTACAAACAAACTAGCTCCAAACATTCGTCCTAAGAGCGTCATTGTGATGGACAATGCAAGTTATCACAGTAGACAGTTGACTAAAACCCCTTCCTCGTGCGACACAAAGGCAGCAATCCAAAACTACATGTATAATAACGACATTTATTTTCACGAAGATTATACCAAAAAGCAATTAATTGAGGTTCTACAAAGCTTGAACCCACAAAAGGAATACGTATGTGATAATTATGCAAAAAATATAGGGCATACAGGTTTAAGGCCTTACCACCTTACCACTGTATATTTATTCCCATTGAACATGTTTGGCACCCACTGAAATCTACCATTCGTCGTAACAATGTTTTCCCCGTGTTAACTCCAATGTCAAACTTATAGAAACCGAAGTTTTTAACATCCCTCCACAAAGTTGGGCAAATTTCTGTTAAATAAACATATAGAAAAAGCAGAAAAATCGCATATCTATATTGCAAATAATAATTAGAACAGGTGATGATAGCGATAGTGATACTGATATATTATGTGAATAACTTTAAGTAATTTAAGTAGGTAATAAAAATAATTTGTAATTTTATTTTAGATTTAAACATAAATACATACATAAATAAATAAATATTGTTTAGTATCTTTCCTAACAAAACCCCAAATAATTAAATTCTAAGCAAAGTAAGGACCTGTTCTTCCATATTTCATCCTTACAGCTTGTCCGGGTCTTTCCTGAATTCGTATCAGTTAGTCACTCTCTTATGTCTATGAACAAACTTTACTAATCGATTTTCAGACGTTTTATTCTTCAGATTTTTTATTTATTTGGCAATGGTACACCATTTTTACAATTTTGAACAGACTCATAATATAATAATACTAAATTTCGGAGATCAAACTGACGATAGACCTAAAATATACAAGGTGTTTCTTCAACAGGTAACAGTCGATTTTCTGATATTTTATTTTGGAAATTTTATTTATTTATTTAGCAAAAGTTAAACATTTTTACAATTTATATATTTATAAATTTCCAATATAATAGCTGACAATACAAATAAAATCTAAAGGGTGTTTCTTCAATTAAATTAAATTAATTGATTTATTTATTTAGTAACGGTTACACAAATTTCGGAGATCATAATGGACAATAGAGTTAAAATGTCCAGGGTATTTACTAATAATTCAAAACACCTCTTAATTTTTTTTTATTTGGAGATATAGAAAAAACGTTTTTATATGAAAGGTTTATAGTTTGTTCTTAGTATTCGAAACTGATACGAATAAAAACAAAAAAATATATAAAATATTGATTTCTTCGAATCAAACTATATTTTTAAATAAAACGGAATAAATAATAAATAGTGCAATAATTCCGAAATCCAGTGAAAAGAGTCAAATATATATTAATATTTATTTTGGTTTGTTGTTGTTGTATAAGTACAGTAAAACTAGTTTCTAACGTACCAGGTGAGAACTTAATAATAATTCTTGAATATACTAAATATTTTAAACGAAAGCTTAAACGATATAACAAAGTATTTATTTTGTTTTAAAAAATGTTTTTGTGTGATAAGTACATATGTATGTACATTGTACATGCTAAAACAAAAATAAAAATAAAAACTACTTCGTAAAAGAGTCCATTATTTGACGTTGCTTTTGGCGATTTATAAAAATAGTTTCCTGTAAATATGTCTCCCTTTCCAGAGATGCGCTTAAAATACGAGCTTTTGTATTACTTCTACTTACATATTAAAAGTTATTAAGTTTTATACTGCTATTTTCGGCGGATGGGACCGGGAAATTTCGTATTTTGTATCAGAAATACGTAATAAGCATGTACGCAATAAGTGAGTTTTACTGTATGTTGCATCGGTTTGTAAAATAAATCACTAACAATTATAAAACCAATTTACTCTTTGGTTCCTTGAGTTGACTGAAAATTAGCTGTAAAAGCTACTATAGAAATAAAAAATATGGAACATATGAATATGGTGGCAGGTGTGGGGTTACATACACATACGTTGTATATCTCAAGCGATACGTATATTTCTTTTTTTAATTATTTTGCGACCTCCTCTATATCATTTCTTTAAACCGCAGCAGGATCACGGCGGAGCCGAAACTCCTGCCGCAAGAGGAAGTGACATACGCGGAACCCGTGCTGGTACCGCAACCCCCTCCGAAGATACACTCGCCAAAGAGTACCCTGAGGAAAGGTCCGCACCAGAACAACGCGGAGACACTCTTCCAATTCCAAACGGACACCGGCTACAACGGCAGAGACAATTACAGAGGCAGAGACAATTTTGGCACACTTCGTTCCCATCAGGTACTGATGTGACGTTTTTTTTTTAATTATTTCGAATATTCTAAGGTATTTAGTGATCCATTATAAATGTTACCCCTCCTAACTTTTTATTTTACACTTTACAAAAAAAAAGGTGTGCCAAAGTTATATTTTTTTCAAATTGGAAGCCCTGTGTATCATTTCATAAAGAAGAATCTCCCTTACGCTTATTTGAAAAGTATATAACAATTTATAGTTATTTTTTACGTTTACTATTTTTACTATTTCATTTATTAGTATCATTATGCTTCCAAAACTGATGAAGGAATAATGTTTTCAATTTACAAGAACTTCGAAATATCATCGTCACATATAAAAAAATGACAACAATGTAAATACGGTCAGCGCTTATATTATATAAAAAATATATAAATAATACAAATGTATTGATTATGAAAATTGCTCTAAATGTTGAAAATGTCCTCCATTTTCCTGAATACACATTTTTGGTTAGTTTAATTCGCATGCAAATGAATAACACTATTTATTTCACTGCTAATTAGTTCTTTAATGTCATATATATTGTCATGCAGGCAAAAAAAATTTTTGTTCATTAAATATTCCCACAAAAAGTATCAGAAAGACTAACATCTGGGCTATCTCACGTAACAACTGCCCGTTCAAGGTATGTGCTAAGAAAGATTCAAAGATCGTGAAATCTGACAATTCTGCATGTTCAAAAACTCCAGGTATTTAATTTTATCACGAAAAATCTCTCTCCACACCAAACGATTAAGGATGGACGCCCAGAACGTTAAACCTTTAAATATTTTTCGGCAGTCCGTAAACTTTTATGAAAAAACCGTTGATCATTGTTGAGTGTTGTCTATAAAAGACTAATCCCTGGGAAAATAACCTCAGTCAAATACTGAGAAAGCGAAAAAGTACCTGAACATTTTTCCAAAACTCTGCTGAATATGGATAACATCTTCGCATATCAATTTTCAAAAAAACTTTAAAATGTTTTATTAATTTATTTGGCTAAACAAATTGTTTAACAAACTACCTAAGTAATACAAAACGATATTTAATTCTTAGAATTTAAAACATACTGCCTAGTTTTTCTCTCCAAAGTTTTGTTTATTTGGAATATTGTGTAAGTGGGCTTGAATGTCATTTGGTATGGTATGCCCTTGTGCATTTCCGCGTTTGGTATTTCGATTTTTTTTGTCAGATGAAAACAGTATTTTTGGCAAATTTTGAACAATTTATTTTGGATTGATTGTGACCTTGATTCAAAAAATACAGGGCTTCCAATTTAGAAAAATATAACTTTGATATACTATGCTCTTTCATACATTAAGCCTTACAACTTTTTTTTTTAAAAATGTAAAATAAAAAAATTAGAGGAGGGTGGGGGTAACATTGATAATGGATCACCCCTGTACAATGTAAGATGACCGGGTGGCTCATAGCAGCGATTGTACTTCCCGTTTAAATTTTCCTAAAACTGTACAATATTGGTCGTCTCCAGAAATAACACAACCAACATTACATAAACTACGTCCTTAACATCGACCACAGAATATCAATATATATTTCTATTTAAACAACATAAATTTCATTTTTAACTTATTACACAATAACCAATCTCTGATATGTAAATATGTGCTATACACAGGCACTATATCGTCAGCAAATATATCAAAAATATCTTGAGATGCAACCAGTGTTTTTTAGATTAAGCACATAAGAGGGTCAAAAGCTGAACCTTGTGGCACCCCAAAATTGGAATAGATGTCCCCTATAAGGCAGCCTTTCGATGAGTTTATTTTGCATTTATTAGTTACTGTTATTTTTTACCTACCTTGGTATACATTAAATATCTTCCAGTAAAAATTTCAGAAAACGTTTTGCTTAAATGATGGTGGTTACGAAAATGGCGAAAAGTTCTCAAGTTTGTTTTTCCGCACGTCTTTACGACTGTAGTTTTGGAGTTTAATTAGTTTTAAAGACGATCAGTTTTTTTTCTTAACAAGGAAGATACACTTTTCTTCGTGAAGATAATTATTAAAAATTTTCCCATTTGAGAAGAGCTTTCGAAAACATTGTATACGAGCCGTTTATTTTGAAAGTAATCTAACTCCATTTTTTAATACTTTCCAGTTACCATGGTTAGTTGATGATGATAGAGATTTTGGCGTGGTAAAAATTTGACTAAAGAAAATTTAATAGATTTATTCCAAAAGGAAATATCAACTTAATTCTACCATCGAGCCACAGACCATTTAACTTTATTAAACAAAATCTGTTTTATTAATGTTCGAAGCTTTGGAATGCATTCTACATACTCTTATTACTCAACATTTTTTTATTAAATCAGATTTAATTGGACTCGAAAATTAATGTTCGTTATAAGTGAGAAAGAAGAAAAATTCGAGAATATAAAAATACAGTAGAGGTTCGTTTATTCGTATAATTTGATATTTGACAGCCACGTAAAAAAGCATGGGTAATAAGGGTTACTTTAAATATAAAGTAACCAAATATAGGTTTACTTAGACATTATAAACACTTTATTTTTTGAAAATAAAGTGTACTTATTTTAACAGAAATGCAAGAAGTGATTGTAATCCGATTTTTTTATTAATCTGAATTAATCCTGATTGGTCAGCATTATCGACTCACTACTGTATATATAGGGGGTGTTACTTACCAAAAACCCACCTGGAAAAATCGAACTTTTAATTTAAATAACAACTAAATTCGCTGGGAATAGCCAATAATTTTGAATTTTAAACCCTACGCACTACAATGTACAGGATGTTCAGTAAATTTCTTCGATTTGGTGCTGCTGACCATTAAAAATTGTATCCGTCCACTATGAGCCACCCTGTATAGTTATTTAAAATTTAAATGGAATTGCTAAAACCTCACGTGAAGATGTGGGTTTCACTCTGCAGTTGACAGGCTCGTATTGCATTAATTTTTAAATATTTTTACGCGGACAATGTTATATTGTATATATATTTAAAGTATTTTTTTCCACATTCATGAACAGTCGTGGGGCGTTATTAGATACCCTTAATTTAGACAAGGTAATTACCTAGAGCTTATTACTAATTCTTCTGTTTCCACTTCTGTCGAGATTGTTATGTTAGGACGACGATAGCCTTTCCCGAAAGTAGTTGGTTTATATTTGTGTGTTTTTATATAAAAAATTTCTGTATTACAGATTTACTAATCATTTTTGAAAATGAAAAGATTTTTCACTCGTTTGTTATGTATGATCACCAAGTGATAAGATTATCTAAAAACACACAAGCTTTTAATTCCAAACTAATATATATATTATAAATTGCATAAAAATTGCATGAAAAATCAATATAATCAGTTCTAGGGAACAAACATAGTTTCAAAAACTTTTGAAACGCATGCTTTTCTCTGTCTCTCTCCCTCTCTGATAATTTAGGCCTGTCTATATTGTTTTTTATTGCATAATACGTACAGTGCGATCAAATTTGTGGTGCATGTGAAATCAAATGGCAATCCATAAAACTTACCCTCCCTATAGAAAAAATAATATAAAATTATAATAATAAAAATAATAGAATAAATATGTCATGAACGAACAACTTATTTCATTCGCAGAATTTTTCAATTTCAATATCGAAGTTGAACAAGTGCAAAAGTTAACAATAGTGATACCAATCCTTAAACTCTGCTATATAATTTATGTCGCTATACTATCACATCCACTCTACAGGGTGTCACATTTTAAACGCTTTTATAGTGGATCTGGGTTATTAATTGTAGATAAAATAATGCGATCAGTCTTTAAAAAACCAAAATCGAACCCCGAGTGGTAATATATTTTTTCATATTCAAGCTATTCAATTGATTGATTTTTATTAATTAATTAATTTTTGTAATAATTTATTTAAACTTTTCCAAATTGCTGAAATGGTAAATACTCAGCCGGGTTCTGGTCTTATAAGCGTGGAGAGGACTCATAGAATATTTTTATTTTTGTTTCTTTTTCATTAAAGTTAAATTTTTGGATTCAGATATCATTAGAAACCTAAGAAAATTATAAATTATAATGACAAAGCTTTAATAATGTTGTAAATGTTGTCCAAATGTTTGGCTGAGGTAAATTTTATTTTTTATGAAGCCTCATAAAAAATCTGATACCGATAGGTATTCAACATCTTCAACAGCTTCACATCTGCCATTCCTAGCAAATGGCAAGGCATAAAAAATTCAGCTGTAATATCCTGTAAATCAACAGTTTAGCTCTGACAGGTTTATGATAGGCCAGGCAAGTCGTGACCATTTATTGTGTGCTAGACTGTACCATCTTCATTGTATCAATATTATAACAGTCCAACTACATATATGTATCTGTTAGAATCAACCAAACTGTAATGCAAACTTCTTCGTATACTAGTTTTACACTGAGAATAAATTCGAGAAGTTCTTTACAAATTATACTAGTTTTATAATGGAAACAAGCTTCGTCCAAATGTCATTTAATAGTTCGGCCACCCCATGGTATTTAGAGGTTATGTTTGACTTTGTTGCCTGTTTTGGTGTTTTGGGATAGTGTTTATTCATAATAGTCCTTATTTGTATGGGAAAATAAAAATTATACAGGAATTAAGAAACGCTGCCCTTGCCGCTAATAATTTTTTACTGCCTAACTTCGTTGCGGGGGAGTCGGAAGAGTTAAACTTGGTTCAAAAAAAGTTTTAAAAAGACCTTAAACGTTCTTGTGATGTTTTTGAGTATTTCAAAAAAAACCTCGAGAGGCTATAAACACAAGATAAACTCGAGATACTTCGTGCAGGCATCCATTAACGTTAGTTTGAAATTTAGAGTAAAAAATTAAGTGGATCTTTAGTAAATTAACATTAAAAATTTAGTCACCTTTCTTACTTTAATTACTTTTTAATTTTTTACATGAAATCAATAACCCCAAAAATCGTAGTGGAGATTGCAGCAAGTTGCCGACCTAAAGGCAAATAGTGTATAAACATATTGTAAAATGATCCTATTTAGTTTAATTAGGGAAATTTTAGAACTTACATAAAATAAAATAAAAATTAGTAAAAACTTTAAAAAATATTTCTTACCACTTGGTCCATAATAGGGTAAAATGGCGAACATGTAGGTGTCAGATGACTAGTCACTAGCGATGCGCTGGTCATTTGGCCATTTCTTATTTGACCAGTCAAATTCGATCAAAATGTTTCAAATCACATCTTGCCATTAGGGGAATCCCAATAAAAATATCGACGATATTATTTATTGTTTATCATAATTTTTTTAAAGCGTTAAGAACATTATACATCGGGCAAGTAAATAGAAGGTGGTATATTATTTCAAATTGATTAGTGTTAATGTTACAATTTTAATTGTGCGATAATTCTTAAAATGGTCATTGACAAGTGCCAATTTAAATTGTTGTGTGGTAGATCAGAGAGTGCAAAGCTTGAGTAAAAATTTGTGCAGTTTGAATCGACTGCAATGTTGAGATCTGCTTCAAAAAGTTTTGTTTTAAAACATTCTAAGATGTCATTCTTTTGGCTTCATTTTATTTTAAAAATTACTTCTACAAAAGTTTCTTTTACGATTTTAGATATTTCTCCTTTTTTTGATTGACATCGACTGGATCCAGCGTCAGTTCTATAATGCTGTTTCATTTTCTTCGTTAATAATGGGGCTTCTTGTCACTCGAGACATTTGAATTATCATCGCGTGTTTTCGAAGAACTTAGCGTTCACTGAATTTGAAGTAGCAAAATGAACATCAGTAAGGAACGATTGGTTGGAAGATCTTTCAAATTATTTTGTTTCTTAACAAACCTTCCTAGTGTTGCTTCGGGAATATTATATTTGATGCTTGCGGAATTAACAGATTGATTGTCATGTTGAACATATAAAGCTGCCATAAGGCTGCCTTCTGACCAACTGGGCCACTGAGTTTTTTAATGTAGTTCCTCACCATCTGAAAAGAGCAAACCATATTACCGTCAACTTGCCCGCACCACCTTGCTTAGTTATAACCTAAAACCTATTTTAGAAAACAAAAATGATAAACATTTTATCTGTGGCGGAAACGATTCGCTTTATGAGAAAGAAGAAGTGGACAGAACTGTGGTTAGCCATGTGTTTTATTTAGATTGAATTTTATTTAAGTTTACTAAATAAGGAAACAAACGAGTGGGCCTAATTTCCGGTCACATATTTTTAATTTATTAAAAATTTTACGCCAGAGTCTATAAATACTATATAAATATATATCTAAATTAACTTACCTTTTCTTTTTCTGGAAAACCTTATTTAAACTACAAAAATATTATATATAAGAGGGATTGCGTAATTTTTCAACATGATTGTGGAGATATATTGAGCTTGTAAATATTACAAGGTCGCAGGGTTATACACCCTCCACACCAATTGTTAAAATTAAAATTTAAAATATTTTATCTTTGGCCGTTCACTTACTCCATTTTCCCCCGCAATCGAAAAAGTTTTGTTTCATTATTCACCATCAAGAACAACTTGAGAAGTGAGCAAACGCCATTAATTTATTAATTTTAATGTTTGGTTAATCGATGCTCGCGTGCATCCACCATAAGTTTGGTGACGTTTTAGGGTTTATTGTAAAAAATTGGTTAGATACGCGCGTTTATTGGTTTACAATAACAACATAACCTTGATTTTTCATTGATTTTAGTATTCAATCTAACACTGTACCAAGTTAGCACCCGTGTTCTTGAACCTCTTCGATCAAGAAATTGTCACTGTAAAACTAGTATCAACCCGAAATACTCGGGCCGGTATTCTCTCACTCGGCCGACATCAAAATACCCCCAAACATCAACGCAGTTGTTACAGGGCGATAATTTTCGGCGCGGAGACGGATTCGCCACCACGCGCAGCGTGAAGAAGGTGTATCTCTGAGAAAACAGCGAGGAGGGCGCAGTGGGCGTACCGCGCAGCAGCCTGAGTCGGCCGCCCCATCACCATCACCACCACCACCATCATCCCCAGCAGCAGGGCCACAGCGCCTTGCCGACTAGCAGCGGCTCCTCCAGCTCCCCGTCGCCGCCCTCCTCGTCTCCGTCGCCCACGCCCCCCAACACTGCCTCGTTTATCTACCGGGCTTAGCCGCCGTTTCACCTTTACCACCGGATGTACTGATTACCTACTTGTTGGAACCGGCATTTAATGTCGTTATAACGTGGGGTCCCCGCCATTTTGTACAATATTTATCAGTTTACTGAGTTTAATAGACGCAGAGGGCTCGTTATTGTCAGCGCCATCTACAAATTGAAAGACGAAGCTTCGAAAAGGGATCTTCTAATTTGCTACCCTTGCTTCACGGGTAAGTGAGGGGAAAATTACATGAAAGTTAACTTAATACTATTCTGTTTCAATGTCTCGATTTAAAACATCGTGCCAAACAATTATTTTATAATTGATTACTGCGTGTGGTTGCTTGCTAAAGTTACTTCCTCCTCACAACTTCCTTTCACAAACATACTTTTTCCTGACGCACCGGATCCTACTGTCTATAATTAACTCAGCAGGAACTCGATAATAGATTTTGCAAATCATCATTAGCATCAACAGACAAATCACCACCCAACATTGGTACACTAGATTTCACGCATCTCTTAATTAAGTACAGAGTGGTTCATACGAGGGTTCATAATAAGATGCTGATCCTTAAAGGCGCGATTCCTTGGGTAATTTACCAGAAAAAAAATGGTTTATATCGATACAGATCCGCAACCGCTTTATTTTGGTGTTCACAGTCTTGAAATAAAAAAAAAGTAAATGATTTTTTATTTATTTTCATTGAAAAATAAATTACATTTTCGACATCTTGATTTAGTACTTAGTAAAAGCCTTTAAAAAAGCCATAAAAAATCTTATTTAAACATTACAATTAAATCAACAGTTAAATAATCGCAATTTAATTATTGAATATTGAATATAAAAAAACGTGAACAAATATGGAATATATTTTCCATACCTTGCACATCAAACACCATGTATTAGTTAAGGGGAGACTATACTTTGCAGTTTGTTGTAAACACCCGCAGTAACATTGCTTTTGATGGTGATAGTGCCTCGCCTTATACAGTAGGGTTCGCTGCGTCATGGAAAGGTATATTTTTGACAGGGGGTTATCTGCAAATAACTAAAAGCACACAACGCATAATAATAAACGTGTAAATATTAAATAAACAGTTTACTCGCTTTCGTTTGGCACGATTACATCAGCCGGTTAGATGCAGGGGGATCTAGCGAAAATTCTATAAAAGTATGGGTTAATTGATTTTACATTAGGCAATTTTTTTATTGCTTTTCTGATTCGGTTCTATAGCTTCAATTTCAAATTTTTCGAAATTTTTATATTACCGGAAAAAAACACCTTTGAAGTAGTAAACAACGACAAAAAACGCAGTTTGTAAAGCAATTTTCGCGAAAAAACATCAAAAGTTTGAAATTTACCTTAACCGCTTGATCACACCATTTCTCTTATTGTACAGCAATTTTTAAACAAGCCACACCTTAAAATGCTTAAAGTATAAAATGTTGACAAGTTTTTGCAGAAAAATACATTATAAGATTCTTAAAACACAACAAAACTTTTGAGATTACTATAAAATGGTTTAAGGTTAGTTTTGGTTAGGTAGTTGACTGCAATCGCAGAAAAAAAATTGTTATTTAATATTTCAAAGGTGCTCCCGGGATATAATGCCGTTAACGTTCTATTATTCCGACCAACATAAAATTTTGTTTGTTGTGTTAATTTTGCTGCCAACATGGAGAACCAAGGACAGAATCGATTTTGGTTTGGGCTGGATTTTTGCGACTATTTTTATAATCGTTTCTCTATTAGTGTCTCTGTATGAGACATTGTGATATACGAAAAATATTTGAATATTTTTTGCCTACGATCTGAGGAGGCTCTTCGACAATCCCAACCTAATAACTTGAAAGTTATAAGCTTCGTCTACAATGATTAAAAGTTATGATGTTATGAAGGAAACTCAGACATTTGAAACAAATTGGCAAAGAACTGGACCTAGTTGTTACATTATCGTGAAGCCAAATAGGTACATAGCATATTCTTAATTAAAACTTAAAACATTTTTGCTGTTTATTTCTATTTTGTTTAATGTGATTTTCATTTGAAAGCTGCGAAGAGAGAACGAAAGCCCCAGATAATGAAAATAAGGTTGTTTTTAATAAAACCTATTTTCCTAACGGTTCTCCGAGCACATTTGATTTCGGTCGAACCGTATTGACTTTTTATACTGGCATTCTTCAACTCGTCTTCCAATGGTAATCCAGAAGGAGTTACCTGTATACCCCCAAAAATAAAATGAATATGTACATTTCTAACAAAAAGTGAAATCGCAAAGTGGTTGTGAACAAGTTGTCGCCAACCTTAACTACGAAACATTCCCATTTTAATGCACGATATTAAGTGCCGGCAACGACATCTGCATAGACGAAAACTGAAAAGTAAATAAATAATAAGTGACTTTCCAAAATTAGGTTATAGAGATTTTAGCTGTAATTCAACAATTCAAAATTAGAGGGTGCATTTAGATTAGATAACTAGGGAGCGTGTTAGGTTCTCCCCGGGAAGTAATCTCAAGATTAATAAGTGCTTCTTATCGATGTGTTAGATAAGATTACCGTATAAAGATAGATTGTTATAATTTAGCGCCATTGTGATTAGATCGTATATATTCTTTAGCTATGGAGTTGTTTCGACTGTATACCGTCTTTGTTACGAGAGCGTTTCCATATTTTATAGAGCTAGCTTTACCCTGAGTTTCGGCCTCTCTAGAAATGTTCCCGACAAAAAGCTTTTACGACTATTATTATTATTATTATTATTATTATTTATTTTGCTACCGTAATGTACATAAGACTGAGATAAATAATACTCCGTGTCCAGTATGTAGCGACTAAATGTCCGCGAATTTAGTTTGGGATATTGTTTGAAACAGTACAAAAAAAAGAAGATTTTTAGACTTCCTTTGTTCTTGGTAAGCACCAAAGTCAATTATTTGGTGCTTGGCGCCATCTATAGGGCTTGAGAAGTTTTCGGTAAAGCTCACGCCCGTTATGAAACTATACAGCCTACTGTACTATTTTATCCCGGTTTCCATACACATTCCAAAATTATATTCTTTAGAAGTTTTCTACGTATAGAGTAAATATTTTTCCAATTCAGATAGTGTATGGAATAGATGAGTAGATTGGATCTTATAGCACAAAGTTATTTGCATTGTCTTTATTTTTTGAAATATATTCACTCACAGTTTAAGATAAAGTTTTTGACATGGTGAATGCTTAAATTTCTATAGCTTGTCGAATCCTATCTAGTTTTTTGTTTTAAGAGAAAATAAAAGTGATGGTACGAAATTTTCTATCAAATTTTGAAGGCAATGCAAATACGAGTAAATTTTGAAATTTCGATATAAGCTGGTTTATTATTATTATTATACGAATGCTGACGAAAAGTTTTGCGTTTGCTCTGAAATCAACTCAATTCAGTTAGGGATGCAGTTATGATATTGCGAACCACACTTTCATATATTTGTACAAAGTTGTAGATAATATTTTAAAGTTCTAATTTTAGCAGTTTTCGATTATTATAGTAGAACTAGTCAAGTCCGATATTTTAATAAGTATAACATTTTGAAATCACAGTACTTTTTATACTTAGATGTGTAGGATAAATCCTCTGTCAAAGCAACCCGCGTTTTTATTAAACTTTTTTGTCTGTTACTATTTCCGTTTCGAGTACAATTTTGAAATTTATTTATCCCTACAGTGACGGGAAACTAATTGGGAACGATGGCTTACGATAATTTTATTAATTCTAATATTATTATATTTCACATTAAGCACAATCATAAGTTTAAACCGCAAACTAATTGGAAACGTATTTTTAGTTAGCATATAAAAACACTTAAGATTTTACCTCAATCTACTATTTGGTTGTCATTAATTCTCTCTATTCTGCAAATATCTAGTGAAATGTGGATCCAAGCTTGTCCTATAACCTCGAAGAGTCGTTTGAACTTAACTTTCACATAGATTTTCTATTGTGTTAAGGTCTGGGCTACAAGATGGACATTGTCAGACATCTAAATAATTATCCGGTAGCGAGGCGGTGACCCTCATAGCAAAATGCTAGGGATCGTTGTGGTGCTGGGATTTCCAAAGTATGTTAATGTACCAGTACCAGTCATTCTGTAAAGTGGACCAACACAATTCCATACCATGATACAATCACCTCCAAATTTCAAGATTTTCATAGTTTTCATATTCTTAATTTGGTGAACAGCAAATAAAACGCTTACCATCAGAACCAAATTTATTTACGTGGGATTCATCTGTACATAATACCTGCTTCCATTGTTGGATGTTCCAAGTAAGATGAGGCTTCTTCCTCGAAGCCCTGCCAAAGAGTTGTGCCTCATATAAACAATTGCGAAGGCTTCGAATAAGGTTCTCTTGGATTTTCAACAACAACTTCTTTCCAAATGTCATTTGCTGATTTAGAAATTCTATGAAATGAGCTTTTTTGGAACGATTATTCACTTCTGTAATATTTTGAATGATTGATAATAATTTGTCATTCATTTTCGTTACAACCCTTTTGCGAACCTAAATTATTTGTATCTGTAGAAATTCGAATGAGGATTATCTGGATCAAATTTCTTGTTACCAACAATTACAATTATCGGTGTCAATTAGTTTGCCGTCACTGTATTTGGAAAAGTGAGGGATTATTGGAGTTTTCAATATTCGACGACCGTACTATATCTTGCTTCTATATGATAACGCGAAGGCAGTAATTTTTTCGGGAAAAAAAATTGAAACAATTTACCCGTGATCGGATTTTTAAAGATATCGATTATTATGTCAAAGTATATATTAACATTAGATTACCAGATAGTTCGGTATGTAGTCTCTAAGTATTTGCATATTGTATGTATCGTACCGATTCCAGTTTTACTCGACTGGATGTTTGCCTAAGAACGCCTTTAGCATATTTGATAATATTATAAACATCGTTACAACATGCGACAAGTTATATATATTTAAACATTCCATATTAAAATAAAGAAACAAGATATTTAAAACTTGCTTATTATCTTGAAATATTATTATTAAAAAAAAATTGTCAATATATCTTAGAGTATCTACGAGTAAGAAAAAATTATTAACAATTCTAAATATAGTTTCTAAAGACAGTGCTGCGATTGTTAGTTGTAATTATAAAATTAAGCCTTTCGCAGATGTACTATATATATTGATGATTAAAACAAAAATATACAATTTGTCCGAAACTGATTTTTTATACCTACTCAGTGTTTGTATAGACGCTCGTTTATTCGTTTGACTTCTAAGAAGTATATTGTATATGCTTAAGGTTTTGTAAATTTTTTTAATGTACATCATGTATATTACATCGTTTTGGACAAAATGTATGGCGAAAACCATTTAATAATAAACTTAGAAAACAATGTATTCTTTAAATAGAAATTAAAGATATATAAGAAAATGTGCTTATTTTTTGATTTGTTACCTTAGGTCGGATGACGCAATCCTGTAAGTTCAATATTTAAAAAAAATGACATAAAACGTTGATCAGACTACAAAATTAAAAGAAGATTGTCTTCTTTCTCACTTGCCACTTCAGATGACGTTGAGTTTGTGTTATTTCATCACCGTTATTGGATAATATGAAGGAAAAGCTATACCATTTTATGCATCCATAAACAATGGTCATAAACCGAATTTCACAACATCACCCTATCCTTTCGAGGGCTAAGGGACAGAGGAAGACAAGGAGGATTGGCGTCCTATAAGGTTTTAACAATATAATATTAAAATAATTCTTAAATTATAATCATAACGATGAAAAAATCGAATCGATCTGATTGTGTTTAAATTGATTGACAGCTCGACATTTTCATTCATGCCCTAACCGAACCAAAGAACTAAACACGCAAACTTACCGCATCTATTGTAATATAACCACGATTGTTGCTATCTCCCTTGTGTCACAGCCATATCTTTCTCGACACCCTTTATATTAGTTACAAGATATAAGATTTACTCCTCAACGCAAGTGGGTAATGAGCGAATGTCCCTGGGTAGTTTGCCTAACAGGAGCTAATAATTTAGATAAAGAAAAGTAATTTTGGTTTCTCAAATTTATTCGTTTAAATTATGGGTTATACACACTTGCTAGCTCTCATTTAAGGTTTTAACGATATCGTTCTTAAAACATAATCATAGCAATGTAGATAGAGAATCGGTATGTTTATGCATTAATTAGATTGCCAACTTGACATATTAAGAATAACCCACCCAAAGTGAAGAACTGTACATTCCAATCTAAAGCATATATTGTAATAAAACAACGATGTTGCCATAATCAGATGATTCTCGTTATTACCATACATTTCCTTACACTTTTATTAGTTATTAGATTTCCACACCTCGATGGAAGTCGGTAATGGGCGAGTGTCCCTGGATGGTTACTTAACAGATTATCAAAATGAAATAGGAAGATTATCGTCTTTTTAGTGAATTACTGTGTTTAGGCAAGTTAATCAGGGGAGTTCACCCATTATCGACTTTTGTCGATGCATAATCATAGAACATCAATCTTAATTTTGGTTACCCTGAATTTACTCGTAATCCAGCAATCTTCATCCAGTTCGAAATTTTTAAGTGGTGATTATCAGACTTGTCAACATTGAACTGATTCAATAAAAGCTAAGCGATTGGAAAAAAATATACTCGAAAAAGCACGTTAAGTATATAGAATTGATATTATTTTAATATTTTTTGTTAAACCTCGCAGACTAATATGGAAGTATTTATATGGGATGCAATAAGTACTATATTATAATTTTATTTTTTTTTTATTTGAACAAGCTTACATAAACAAAAATACCTTTATGTATGCATTTTGATAAATACGAGATTTGGTTCCTGAAAACGTAATATACACAATGGACTAATAAAAATAAATATACAGTAAACATAAGAATTTAATAACACTAAACACTGCTTTATCAAATAAAAGGTATTTTTAAGGTCAAACTTAAAACAACAATGACTAAGAAAATAAAAAATAATGTAACTCCTTTAAAATAATCACAGTAACTTTTTCTATTATTACATAAACTACTGCACCAATACCTAGACGACAATTTATTTGCACATCTGGTAGATGGTATTAAAATGAACCATCGTCCGTTACAGGCCCACCAATTTATGTAATAAATTGTAGGTACACCAATTACGGGCCTTTTATGTAAAATGATTATAAAACCGTGACATTAATGAACGTTATTTAACAGCAACCAGATCCTTGAGATCCACCAGCCCCTCCAGTTCCCGGAAGTGATGGATTCGTAGGAGAATGTTGCGGACCAATCTTGATTCCATTTGCCTACACATTTTTCAAAATTGGTAAAGTGACCTGACAACTTATATTTCATATAATTCTAACACCTACCTCGTTGTTTATATCAAACACTCCCTCCTGTATTTTCTCATATATCTCTTTCGCGGTGTTGATAAAGGCTTCCTCCACATTTGCCGCAGTTTTGGCAGACGTTTCCATGAATACTAAACCATGTTCTCGGGCGAAAGCTTCACCTTCTTCCTTTTTCACCTCCCTTCTTGATTCCAAATCACTAAAAGTTTTAAACATGGACACAACTGACACTCATCCTGATTAGGTAAAATAAATATCTCTTCTTCCGTAAATATAACTGATATTCACTGTGAATAGATTAAATAAATACCTTTTGTTGCCAATAAGCATAATAACCATATTGGAATTTGAATGTTGTCTGGCGTCATCCAACCAAGTAGTTAAATGATTAAAAGTCTCTCTTCTGGTAATGTCATAAACGAGAAGGGCCCCAGCAGCACCTCTGTAGTAAGATCGCGTAATTGAACGGAAAGCCTCTTGCCCTGCGGTATCCCAGATTTGCAGTTTTATTTGCTTACTGTCGATCGTTACCATTCGCGCTCCAAATTCCACACCAATGGTGAGATCGTGAACGGGTTGAAATCTTTTATCCGTAAACTGAAGAAGCAGGCATGATTTGCCAACACCTGAAAAAGATAAATTAACGATAGCATAACCTGTAACGCATCCACTTCAATTACGACAAAATAGAACACGCGAATAAGCCAAGCGGAATAACAATACGCAATTGGGAATGATAATAAATTGATTTTAGGAACCACTAAATATTGAACTTAAATTTACGTGCACGTGAATTACTTACCCGTATCGCCAATAATGATGTACTTAAATAAATACGCGTAAGACATTTTTTTCCGCAAAGAAGTTTGTAATATTTACAAAGTCCTTTGTTAAAATTAATTCTTATGTCAGCTGTCTCAACGTCCCCTCTTCCAACAACTTAGAATAAATACGAAGGCACATGCGTAATACACCAGAAAAATCGATACGTCGAACCTAGACGTGGAACGTTCTTTGTTTTGTTAGCACAAAAGTTTAGTTCACATGTTTTTATTCTAGTATCTGCTAGCAAATCAGAAAAAAAAACAGTAATTTGGAATAAAAGTACAAAAAAATATTGTAAGTAAACTTTTATTTACAAAACACAGGAACATTATGGATCAGACAACAAAACACCGTATCATTTTTCTAAGATGATACCCGGTTAAGTCCTTAATCTGTTAGAACACTATGTTTCTGAGTTCGTACTTTGGATTTTGGGTTTAAGTTCAGTTCATATGCTATCAATCTTTAAATTTTTAGTAATGAGATTCCATCTTGTGAATTAATTCGGTTCAGAAACCACCCAGCTCTAGTCAAAATGAAACCGGCAACAGACCATAAAAATCGTCCATTTCTTATTTGAGAAAGAAGGTACGTCAAAGTATAGCAGAGAAAATTATTGGAATTGGTCAAATCTTTCAAAGCTAGTTGTGGGCTAGATCTAGATCATGGTAACCGCATTTTTATCTATGAATTGATTTATGTTTTATATTGTTCGTGATGTAATATTTACTATAAATTCCTACATTAAAGGTTAGATTTCATAATTTTTATTTTTACGTCTTTATTTATAGAACGCTTATTTTTGTTGTAGTTTTCATCGGATGTTTCGGCAGTAATTGCAGATTAAGGGTGACCTAATGGAGGAAATACCAAAATTGTTCAATAAATTTGCTAATTTAATGGAACGAGATATCAGGGGCGTTGAGGTAATTTTGTGGATACATTTAAGCTTATTGTTTAAAAATATATTCTCCTCCTAGATCGGATGCTACTCAGTGGCCTTGCTCAGTTTAACTATAGCTGTAAGAAAAGTCAGACCAGTAAGTATTAAATAATTTAGCAATTGTTTATTAATTCGGCTACATCTTTGCAGTTTAGTAAATTTAAAAGTCCAAAAGATATTCCCAATCATTTTATTAAAGAAAGAAGGGAGTTGAGTGGACTTGTGAAAAGAATAGAACCCAATGAAGGTTTGCTTATGGTGGAACATAAACCTCTAATTAATATTCCTATTGTTCCATCCAGGCAACTGCCTTTAAAAATATCTGGAGTCCATGTCACAGGTCTGGGATTTAGTTGGTTGCAAGCGATTGTGGTTGGCCAAAACATAATATTCATTCCTATATTCAAGGACAAGAATTTTGTCAAGTGTGAAGTTTTGCTAGCTGAGAAAACTAAAGATGTAAGTATCCTATACATTTAAAATTAATGACATTCAAATTTTTCTGAACTATCCAGAGGGACATCTGGTCAGTTTTAATATCGGTTTAACATCAACCTACAAAAATATAATTACAATAAATAATTTTAAAAATTAATAATATAACTGAATCTGCAGAAGAACCATATTTTGTTTGATAGACAAGTAACTTAAATTGTAAGGTTAATATAGAAACTAATAGGTCATAATTGATTATTAATCACTATAAAAGACATTATACAAAGAAGTTAAAAAAAAGCAGATTTGAACCAAAAATCTGTAAACACACAATTTCAGAACCTGATAAATTTAATCAGTAAAGGCAAAAAAAAAACATTAAATTGTAAGGTAAGGTAGAAAGTAATAGATCGCAATCGATTATTAATCACTATAAAAGACTATATAAATCTTTTTTTTAAATCATAAAAAATTTAGTGGCAACTTTGAATAAAAATTTATAAACACCCATGTTTAATCATTTCATAATCTAATAAATTTAATCAGCAAATGCAAAAAAGAATCACCCTTCGTAAAAATATATATAGTTCATAAAAACAATAATTGGACTTGATTGAAGGAAGGGATAAAATATATCAACAAAAAGTTAGTTTTGGTTAGTTTCCCGGTGACCTAATCCTAGAAAATAGATTTAAAAAACTCAAAGACCAAGTCAATAATAAGATAGAAACAATAAAAAGTGGGTAAGTGGGTAAGTGCTGGCAAAAAGTCGATAAACAGTGGGGTTTCATTGATAATTTTCTGCAAGATAGAAGCAATGAAACATAGATTAGTAATATTATCAAAAACCAATTGAGAAATACATCATCCATATAGCTAAGAGACATACATATAGAGGCCTATGCTGACCGCACAGGAACTCATGAAGCAACTATAGATTTTTTGTTGAGGTCTATTCAATTTGCGCATGCGCGAGATTTAAAATTTCGTTTTTAACCAATGGCAGCGCTAATGACAAATTTTGACATAAAACCCATAAGACGTTGCGAAATCCTATCAAATTTTCACGCAAAAAAGGAGTTCAGGTCTGGAGAAGCAGCGCAGACGTCGGCGTCAGTATAATTCCGTAATTAATTTGTCGTTTTTGTTCTTCAATCCCTGTAGATACGATTCAATTTCAGCATGTATTTTTTTATGTAAGCTATTTTTTTTTGTAAATCGGAGTAGAGCGTTAGTTTTTATAAACTCATGGGGTTAACCTTCATTGAAATAACTTTGAGATGCTAGATATCGCACATGAATCATCTAAGTGAAAAATTGTTCAAGAAGTTCCTCCTATAGACAGTAATTGTCAAGGGATATTTCTTATACATGTTCTAAAAATTCAACTTGTAGCTTAATTGCTTTCTTATATTTCCTGTAATTTTTGTACACTAAACATATACCCAAACATCCTTCATTGCTATTTAAGTGTACCTAGAAATGTAGGGAATTCTGTTTACTAATTCACCTGTAATTATTTGTGTAAGTCTATTTTACAGTTTGTTAAATGTCAAATATATAAGCATCACTGTTCCCAGGCCACAGACTGTTCTTTGACATAGTAATTACCGTTGCGTTGCCAATTGTGTTCGGATTTCAGAGGTGTTGCGTTCTTATAAAAACTAATCAATTTTAACTCATTGAGTTGGGGGGTGACCCATGCTCAAAAAATTCTGTATTAAAAGATCATAACCACCTGCAGCGCATCAATTTTTACCGTAGTAGGGCCTTTATATTATCTTATAGCTATAGGAGTTCATCAAAAGGAAATTGCTGAACAGCCATTTTGTTTGTGACTTTGAGGACGAAACGGGGTCACCATTGAAAGATCCAATGGTGTTGGAAGGTTTGACAAAGGAAAATGAGCACTCAGCAACTCAGCATTACAGGGAGACATATTTAAATGATGAAAATATTAACTAAGCTAATAAATAATGCAAAGTCCACAGATATTTTTGCAAATGAGTGGAAAACAAGCAAAATAAGCGCGGAAAGGATGGTTACAGTACTGAGAATTTTTTCTAAAATCTTGGAAAAACTTATGACAAAGCGCCTATTACAATACATTGCAAACACAATTGAGCCAGGTTCGAGCGTTGGACAATTTCTGAATTTGAATGGGTCTAGTCTATTTTTCAAATAGATGTTTCCAGATTTTCAGTTACAGTTAACAATACATTTAATTTTTTTCAGTGCAGAGTTTATTTCTGGGTAAAACTGGTTTCATAAACTGCTTACGATTTGTAGTTAATCTTATAGAAATTTTTGTACTCGTTTGCCTTCTCCGTGGATAGTTTTGGTTAGTTTTAAATACATACTCTCAGCTTCAACGACGTTACTAAAGCGTAAGTTGTGATGGACAAATAGTAATCTTTTTATCAGGTTTGGGTATATGGGTATGTTTTTTTTTTATTAAAAAGCTAAACAAAAGCAAAACAAAGACACGGTGTTGTTGAAACAATTGTCGTGTAAAAATATATAATTTCGTCAAAATCTGAACTTTTAGTTCTTATTTATTTTGTAAAAAGAAACCTCAGTTGCAAGGTGCAAATAGATGAATTTCTAGCAGGTCTAAATTCCAAATAAATACAAAACGCGGAAAAAATGAGGTTGAGGTTGAATTTATTCTTCTGATTAAGTTCTGATGCTTTGTCTACTAGGGTAGGTATACAGCCAGCGCAAACCGTGTGACGAAACGCGGGTTGCCTGCTTGCAAGCTTTTAAAATCTTACAAAGTTAAGGTTAAAAAAGGGAAAACCCAAATGTGGGTGGGAAAATGTGTTTTTATATTTATTTATATATTTACCCACCGGGTAAATATCCACGGCACATCACTAATCATAAGATTATAACATTGTAGCATATCCTCAGGTGAAAGGACACGATTCATTTTGTATAGCAAAAAAGAACCAACAGTAAAAAGACGCAACAACAACGTTAATTATGTCGTTCTCAACGCCGTCATATCAGCGCCTACTACACCAAAACAATGAATATTTAATAAAAATCCTTTTTTGTGTTAAACAGTGTAGAATCATATAGTGCCGTACATCGTTGTATTCGCAATATAAAATGCCTCTTAATACATAGTATTAAGTATTAATCTTTAAATTTTATCTTGGACACCGTGTATTTTGTTAAATAAAGACTTGTTTTAAAAAAATCAACTGTGATTGTTTATTTTCTGCTTTTAGAGCAAAGAAAAATTAACTAATATCGGCGAGCATTTGGTGAGGATCGGCTTCGCGAAGATGGAACCGATCCAACCTACATTACTGGAAGATCCGAAAGTGCTCGTTTATTACAAAAGGCTGCGAGCCGCCGAGAGATATGCCCTTCGTAAAAAGCAGGGCCTGAAATACTACGTAAAACCCACCCAGGATGCCGTGTTATTATTGTTTAAACAAATCAAGGGATTAATGAAAATATTCCAGAAGCAAGTCAAAACGGTCGCCCAATTAACGCCGGCATAGCATTCGTGGATGATGGTAGTGGGTGAATGTGTCCTGGTCGTGTTACAATGCGTGGGTGTGTATAACATTTTCTGCTTCTTCTTTTACACGAAACATTATTCGATATCCGAAGATCTGGAATATTATTTCGATTCTTGAAAAAACGGGCGGGAAATTTTTAAAACGTGTGATCGTGAGGTTTTTGAATGGTAGACTTCCCCTTCTTCCACTTTTTCAAGAGGTCTCTGTAAGAACAATTGAACGCTGAATTTGCGGCCATGTTTGATTTTGAAAAACATTTTTACCTTCTACTAACATGTAATAGCGGTGGTCCGAATTATAATCGAAAAAATGCAACAGTTTAATCATATTTTTAAAAAAATCTTTTGTAGTTTTTCAAATGTGGTGGATATTATTCCCACTTAAAAACAAATTTATAGCTTATAGATAATTTCGTAAGCGGTGGCGTTCACTAGGCCGTTTTAATTAATTTAAATCCCTTAAAAAAAAGCATATGCCAATGGTTATCGCAATTTTGTTAATAATCAGTCTGATCAATTCGAAACAAAAATGGTCTCTTAAATTTTTTCGTTAAAACGAACCAGTTTTTTGATTTTTCCTTTCAAATTTGGCAAGTAATACTGCCACTTAAAATCAAAATTCGAGCATAGATAAACTGGTTTTTGTTTAACCGATGGCGTTCGCTAATTAATTGAAATAAAAAAAGTGATGCGCCAATGGTTTAACGCAATTATGTTAATAAATTTAGATACATGGTCAATTCTAATAGTCTCTTCACTTTTTCGCTAAAACTCACACTTTTTGAGAAAAAAAATGTTATTTCAATTAATTGAAACAGTCTCACGAACGCCGCCGATTAAATAAAAACAATTTCGTCTGTGCTATAAATGTGGTTTTATGTCCTAAAACAAATGAAATATTGCCAAAAAAAAATCGTTTTTCATTATTTCTAAAAAAACTTTTCCTGATTTTTTTTCACACTTGGTAAGTAATATTGCCACTTAAAACAAAATTTTACCATAGATACACTTATTTTTGTTTAGTTTTGTTAGTCGCGTTCGCGAGTTCGTTTTAATTAATTGAAATAATGAAATATGTGATATGCCAATGGTTTATCTCAATTTTGTTAATAAATTTAGATACCACGATCAATTCCAAAAAGAAACAACCGCTTCAAGTTAAGGTTTTCAAACGAAGGATCTCGTTTTTAAAAAACACTTTTTATTTTGCAAACAGAACTACGAGGTTTTATTTAACCCGCTACAAGGAGAACTGGACGCAAAGCACAGAGTTGTTATATATATAAAGTTTTTATGCAAGCGTCGCGTCGCAGATACCGGATATACTGAAGCTAGCATTTCATCAGCATTTTCTATCACATAATTCCTCCCTCCGAAGTGGAAAACAACAGGGACGAAGGGTTGTTTTCGGAAGACTGGTCGTTCTTGGTTTTCTTGGAATCTTGCAGCAAATGGCTCTTGTAGATTTTCCATGCTATAACTATTAACAAGATTAAAATAAACATCATTCCTGTTGAAGTGGCGAGACTCCAAGTGACTGGATGAATTTCATAACCAATGTCGGGGATCGATGATTTCGCAGCTTCTCGTAGTTTTTTGATCGTATTGAGATCAATCGATTGTAGTTGGAGTGGCTGGTACTTCACATCGTGATGTTCCATATTTTCAATTTTAATGGGTGGCAGTGAGAATGGGTTTGCTTTAAAAATTTCTTCTTTATTCCAAAGCTCGGTATTTTGGGTACTTATACCACAATTATATGGAACATTGATTAGGCAGGCTTCTTCAATAAAAGCTATTTCTTTGTTTTGACAATTCATTTGTAATTTAAGTTTCTGTTCCGATGGTATTATCAAAACAAATCTACTAGTGATTGGTCGTATTATATGCGTTGAAACATTTACATTGACTACGTGGCAATTTTTGTTTTCGGCATATTTAATGAGGGTTGTCACACAATCACCGATGGGCTGGGTAAGTTGATTTTCGCAAACGTAGGTGTCTTCAATGATTGGGCAGATTGATTCTTGATATTGTTGCATGTCAGTGCCCAATATTAGGTAGGGTGAATTAGGTATAATTAAGGAGTGATTCACAGGTACTGGGAACAGGTGGAATATTTCAAAAATATCTTTAAGAAAAATCGGAATATGGACGGCAAAAACTATTTTATCTTTTGTAAATTTAACTTGTAAGTTTGCTAACTGATAATAATTATTTTGATTTTCAAAAATTAGAATTTGATTATCACCATAGAGAACAGTCAATTTAAAAATTATTTGTTCTAATTCAGCCGCCGATATTACTACAGGATGTAATGTGTTTAATTTCGCAAATGTAATGGCATTTTCTAAATTATCCAAAAAAGTTATAAAACTTTGGCAATTTAGAATAATTTGCATTAGTGTATTTTGAGCTTTAATGAAAGTAGTTATGTCAGTAATAGTTTTATTTGAATTATATTCAAAAATGTCTATATGTTTTTTAATAGCTTCTTGATTTTTCTGTAGAAGTGTTATAGTATCATTATAGTTGTCAATCAGCTGTTGAATCAACGAGGTTTGCTTTTTTAGTTGGATGTCAGATGAATGTTTACTACGCACAAGTTCTGTGATAATTTTATCGTATTTTTGTCCATCCTCTGAATCGAGAGTGCCAAAAAGCCATTTCGATAATTTACCTACAACATTTATTAAACCTCTTTTTGTACGGTTATTAGGTTTTATGTTACCAAGTTTAAATTTTACTTGAGTAATTAAATATCGAACATTATTAAGTAAATTATTTCCATTAATATAGTGTACATTCTGATAATTATGTTTATTTGTATAGTTTAATGATTTTGAGATTACAGCGTAAGCGTATTCTAAATTACGTAATTGATTAAAAAGTTGAGATGTTTCTACAAAATGCAAAAATGTATGTTGATGTTGAATTATTCGAGCATTTCCTAAGCGGAAGGGGAGAAGTGGTGTCTTAATTGGGATAACTTCAATATCATTATTTGCTATCACTAATAACAGCGTAGCTGCAAGAAGGAACAGCGTTGTCCGGTTCATTAACCTGCGAAGAAGAAAAAGCTTTAGGTTTTTGGATCTGAGATTTATGAATTATTTTTTTATTTTTTGTAATAATTTTATTCCCAATATCTTGATCTATAATAACAGGTTTTCTTCGGGGTTTGTCCTTACTACGTTTTGCTGTTTTGTCAGTAACGTAAACCTTTGTATTTTGTTTCATTTCAGGTGGATTTTCTCGTTTTTCGTTTTGTTTTTCATTTAAACGTATTTTTGTTTCTAACGATGTTTCGTAAATTTGTTGATAGATAGTTTTTAGTCTTTCACGTCTATCTGTGATATAATTATTTACAATGATTTCATCCGTTAAATCAAAGGGATCTAAACCGTTTACTTTTCCATTAATAACGTCAAAAGGTTTTTGTTTTGTTACGCTATGCATTGATGAATTATAACCTATAATGGCGTATTTTATTAAATTTTTAGGGGCTTCTTTAGGTTCTTTTAATTTTAGTACCCTATATAATTCAACAAGAGTAGAGTGAAATCTCTCTATTGGACTATTACTATTAGAATTGCCGGGAGTTGTAAAATGAATTGCAATTTTATGCAATTTACAGAAATCTAAAAGCAAAGACGTTTTAAATTCCGTACCATTATCACACGTTATTTGTTGAGGTAGGCCGTGATGACTTATAAAGGTCGCTAAACCGTCTAAGATAGCAATTGCTGTGCAAGCGGGTTCTAACGGATAAGCTTGGGCGTACCGTGAAAATACGTCTATGATTGTAAGAAATTTTACGTTACATATTTGAAAAGTATCCATATGGATGGATTCTAATGGTTCAGAAGGGGTCGGTGTCAACATAAACTTTAATTTTGGTGGATGTCGATCATATTTTGTTTGTTGGCACGTGTCACAATTATTAATATATTCAGTTAAATCAGTTTTCATATTTGGCCAATAATAGAGCCTTTTTAATGCTATTAGGCTTTCATTAATTCCTCGATGACAGGTTTTTTCATGATGATATGCAATTAGGTCTTTTTGTTTTGTCCTGTTAGTGACGTCAGTTAAAAGAGTTTTCGATATTACCAATTTGTAAGCACGGTTTTTAAATGTATTTGGTAACAAAACAGATAGTTCTCGATTTAAATCTATTTCGGTGTTTTGTACATAAAGGCAGTACATTTTTGTTGGATCCAAATAATCTAAAAAGAATTTAATTATTTCATTTTGATAGTTTTGACTTAAATAAACAGAAAATCTAGATTTATTTTGGAATGGGTAACTCCTAATCACGTGATAACGATCGTTTGTTTTTTGGTTAAATATTATTTGATTAGAATAAGTATTTAAACTATTTTCGGTAATTGGTATATTTAATATTGGATCTTCAGCTGCTGAGTGTACTGTCTCACCAGTATTAGGAATATTTGGCGGTTTAAGTTGAATGTCCGAGATGATATTAATTTTTGGAGTGTTTACATTTTCTAGAGGGTTAAACACGTCTTCAATTTGTTCCAATTGTTCAAGGCTTATATTTTGATCTTCTTCATGTATGTATTTATCGATATCTTCATTAATATCTCCAGGATTTCCGAAAAGTGACTCTTTATCTATCATATTTAGTTCAAAATTTTCTTTATGAAAGTCCGGAAAAGATAAAACATTTAGAGGTTGTGGGAAATTTAACGTTATATTTTTCTCAGTGTAATTAAAAACTTCTGTTTGCGCAAAACCGTTTTTTGCAGTAGTAAGTGTTTCTGGAAAATAGAGACCTTCAATGACTTGCTCGGGAATAATAACATCATTGTTTTGTGTTACTGGAATTCTTACGTTAACAATTTCGTGTGCATTCACAGTAATACAATATACTTCGTTTTGTGGTTGTCTAAATAAAATTGGTATATTAGTTGTAATATTCCTTAATTGTTTATTGACAAGATCGATAGAAAAATGAAAACGTTTTAGGTCGTTTAATCCTATTATACCGTCAAAGAATTTATGAAAGTCAAAAAGAATAAAAGATAGGTTGGTATTAGCCTTTAATTCTGGGAAAGCCGGAATATCTGCTTTAAATAGAGTTTCCTTTTCACCAGTTCCTGTTTTAATAATAGTTGGGGAATGATATATTTTTTCATAATAAAATTTTTCTGCAATGGAAGGTCGAAGAATCGAGTGAAAACAACCGGTATCAATTAAAAGTTTAATTGCGGGTTCTTTAATCTGGATGTACGGTAAACTATTATTAATTTCGGTATACATTTCTAATGTCATTTCGTTGAGTCGCATTGGCTCGTTATTGTAAAATTTTGAGAGATTTGATTTTCAATTTCAGGGTGTTCGTCAAAATTTTGAGTGTCATTAAAGTATTCAGATTGATTTGAAAATTCAATTTCAGAGTATTCGTCTTGGTGAATATTTTCATTTTGAAATACCGCAGATGTTTCATCTGTTTGTACCGCGTTACTTTCGTCGATTTGGTATAATTCTTGCGAAATAAAATTTCTAGGGCCAGTAGGTTTGAAATGGTTAATTTGATTATTTTGACGTGGTATAGTATAGTTTGTTCTTGTTGACATAGGTTCGGGTTTATTGTTAGGTACCTGACCTGTCGGTTTAAATACGTTTTTAGGTGGGCCAAAAACTTGCCTATTTGTAGGAAAATTTCTTGGAACTTCGCGTGGTTGAGGCATATTAATTGGACCTCTGGGAAAACTATTAGTCTGGGGAGTAAACTGATTTTGATCATGCCTAATTCTAAAATTTTGATTATGGTGATTATTGTTTTGAAAATAATTTGTAGGGCGAATCGGTTGTACATAATTAAAATTTTGGTTACTAAAATAATTTGGATTTTGTGAAAATTGTTTAACGGGTTCGATAGAAGTATTAGGTAAAACTTTTGATTGAATTGGAGTTCTGAAGATATTTTGTGTATATTGAAAATTTTCCTCTTCAATAATTTGGGTCATAGCTAATTCTATACAGCTTGGATTTTTAAGTCTTATAATACTTTGTAATTGTCCTGGTAATCCTCTAATAAACGTCCTTAAACAAATTTGATCGTATTGACGTAAATGAATTACTTTGCTTGCATTATCCATAGTATCGGCAGGAAATGCATTAATTTTTTGAGCAAGGATACTTCTTAAAACTTGTAATCTTTTCCCAAAATCTAAAGGATGTTCATTTTTAAAGGGGGTGGCCATAAACAAATCCTGTTCTAAACATTCTAAATTTCGTCTATCGCCAAAACAATTTAACAAAGCTACTTTAATATTGTCCCACGTTACTAACTCCATTCTACAGCCTACTAGAATTTGTGCGCGATCAACAAGTTTCATTCTTATAGTTCTTAACAAATATTGTTTTAAAATTTCGTCGTTTCCTTGACCATATGTATCAAAAAGGAAATCTCCAGCTGATAGAAAACTATTTAAAGTGTTGGAATCACCATTATATGGCAGAATACTATCTATAAACATTTTTAACAAAGTGTAATTTACACCTGAATTCGACGATTTGTTAGAATTCATTTTCAAATTGATTTGACTATTCTCTACTTTCTGTTCCACTAAATTTAACGAAGTAAAAAACGCACTTAAATTGTCGACGTCTTGATCTTCGTTCATAAATTTAATTGATTTTGAAATTTCTTAAAATTGAACTTAAAACTAAGAATCCTTAAAATTATTTCCACCGTCCTAACCAGGGAAGATGAAAGGAGAACAATAGGAATTTTGGGCACTAACCTTGATTTCTCTTAGTCGTCAGCCTATTCTTCCTATTGGAATTTTCCTTGCGTAGCACTGCTTGCGGGGGTGATTTCTTGCCTTCCTTGCCCTCAGTCGAACTCAATCACGTTGGGTTTGTCAGACAGTCTATCACAGGTTCGTTTTGGAGTTTAAGGGTTGAAACCCACGTTTCGCAATCAAATCGTCCCGATGACGTGGCTTTGACCGAAAACTACCCCAAATCCTTCACGACTGCGCCAGTTAAGGTTTTCAAACGAAGGATCTCGTTTTTAAAAAACACTTTTTATTTTGCAAACAGAACTACGAGGTTTTATTTAACCCGCTACAAGGAGAACTGGACGCAAAGCACAGAGTTGTTATATATAAAAAGTTTTTATGCAAGCGTCGCGTCGCAGATACCGGATATACTGAAGCTAGCATTTCATCAGCATTTTCTATCACATAATTTTCAGTTTTTTGTTTTTTTATTGTTTAAATTAATTATAACGTTGTAACGGAACGCCACTTCTTAAAAAAATAAGCGCATCTATTCTATGAATTTATTTTTTAAGTGGCAACAATACCTACTAAACTCGAAACAAGTTATGCAAAGAAGTTTTTTTGTTTTAATAAAAACAAAACCTATTTTTTCCACAATATTTTAACACGGAAGTTTCTTAATATATGTTTTTATGAACTTTTTTACTTATTTTTATCTACTAAATCCAAGTTTTAGTTTGCCTTATAATTTGGACCATCCTGTATTTTGATAATCGATAAGATTTTGCTTAGTTTTATTTTTGATTAGCTTGGGTTTTATTTCCTTTTTTTTTTGACTGACAGAAATTCAAGCGTTAATTTTACTTTTCATTTGGTTTATTTCACTGGAACACTTTTTTTTTATAGAGACCCAATGGTTGCAGATTCATTGTAGTATTTATCTTAGGAAACTGATATTTTTATAAAATTAATGCCTTATTTTGCTTCCGATTTTACCTATTGCCATTTGGATTAGCAAAAAATAAATTATATACTTGGAACTAGAAAACATCGTTTTCAAATTATTTGTTTCAAGATTTTTGAATTTGAATAATTGATAGTCTAAGCTTTAGTTATTAGGAAATGATCCATTTAAATTGTTAATTGTTGGAAGTTTGTTATCACTTTATCACATAATAAATATTTTAGTTTTGGTTAACCTTTTTTCCTTGCTGTATCATTGTTCTCCGATGGTGACGCCGCAGTTTTATTCGCAAATATGAAGTGTACATGTTACTTTTGATCAACTATCTCAGTATTCCGTGCTTGGAACCTTTGACCAGCTCATCAAGTTCCGCGGACAACATACCTTTTTGACAGCCTTTTATGGTTTTGACTTAGGAACGAGTTTAAGACGCGTCTATTGTAAAGCGGAAATGACCATGCTTTTCAGCACGTGTACCACGAGCCAGGGCCGTATTTAACATGTTAGCCGACAAGAGCTGTGCCGTCTTTTACCATATCGCTGCAGTTTAAGAAGAAACGACACCTCGCCGAAATTTAGTTCTGGGGCAATAGAATTAATTAAAAGTAAAGTAGAAAAAATATCTGCTTCTGCAAAGTTAAATACCGAATTATGTCTTAAAAACGGTATGTTGTCGGGCGCACTATACTACCTGCGTAAGCGACAATAACACTTGGTGGCTTTCATAATTTTCTGTGGTGTATGGTGGATGAAATAAGCATTAATAGGAGGAATTATGGAAGTATACTTTATAGGGTGTTCCATATGACTTTTTCAGGATGATTAATAATAATATTGAAAATAATTTTAAATTGTTTCTTTTAGTCTCATCAAACTTTTGTAATCTACACGTTCCTCTAAAACAAATAATAAACTGGATATGTATATTAATTTGACAGACTATTTGGACACCCTGTATATATTATACATTAAAATTTAACTTCAATTCGATTTGAAATTAATTTTCATTTGGAAGTGTCCAAATTAGTAGATTATGTTTTATTACACATTGGTAAATAAGATAAATAAATTTGGATACAATTTTAAACGATTTTATTATCGGATCATATCAAATAACAATAGGCTTTATTCCAAGGAATAGAAATGCCATAATGGAAAATCAATAACATCGCAAAAAAGAAAATGTGTTACAATGGTTACAACAAAAATATATATTCAACGTAAAATACTAAAAACAGAAAATATTAATTTCACACAATCTCAATATGCAAAAAGATAAAACAAAAATAAGTTTTATAACAATATTAAATAGTAGTAACAGTTACAGAAGAAACAAACAGTAAAATATTCATTCTATGTAAAGTAAATATGCAAAAAAATAAAACAAAAAGGAAAACGGTTAAGTATTTGACTTCATGCTAACATTTTAAAGGTGTTTGAATTTTTTGTTTTTTATAATGCCCAAAGCAGAATTGTTTTTCTTCTGTCTTTAACAAATTTGAAAATAAGAAGCATTATATATTTGTCTACTATGGAAATATGAACATTGTGATTATTACAAAGTATAAATGAATGTATTTGTTGTTTACAATGTTCTTTAATTTTACTATCCAAAAGAAATCAAGAAGATTAAAAAGAATTTCATTAAAATAACGGTATAGTTTAATTAAATTCTCGCTAGCATAATTTATGCTTATATTATTACTAAATTCGTTAATTTTTACAAAAAGATGTTGATTTTCAATATGACGTGAGTATGACATACAGAATCTTTAGGTAAATTATGTTTATCTCAATAAGTATTTCCACTATTTGGAGGAATACCATTATGAAATTTGAAAGAAAATAAATGCCAAGCATAACCCAGAGGTTCGTATTTATAGAAACAAACTTTTCAACCATCTAAAAGCAATTAAAGAAACTAGCACGCAAAAACCTTTAGGTTTTTAAACCTTGCCTTACACACACCAAAGAGGTTTGTAATACCTAGGTAAAATAATCTGTAAGATAGCAAAATAAAATATGCCTAAAATAGTCACGCTGAAAAATAGCAAAAAAAGGTGTTAATAGAACTGAAATGGACAGTATATTAAAATGTCCTTTTCGGTATTAGTTCTATTATCCTTTATCAAAGAATGCCTCCACACGTATACTTTTGTTTTCAGTTTGTTTGTTTATTTTGGTACAGCGTGGCTCACTCTTGAGGAGGCCGTACGAATCTTCTTCAATAAGGCGTTCTGATCGACTGCTAATTTGCCTATGGACGCATAGATGGCGGTAAGGGTGTTCATTTGATACAAATAGCTATTAGATAATATAGTGGCCTCCCTACGCTAAAAATTGATGCACCGCAGGCGCAATTGATATTTTCGCCTTTAAATTGCACCCACTTTGCGTCATTTTCTTTCTACATAGCGACATCCACACACGTTGCAATGGCAAAAATATCGCTTTGCAGATGAAAAGCTCGTTTGTCATCAAGTTGAGTGACATCCATCTACAGAAAAATTTTTGTGATTGGATTTGAAACTGGTGAACTTTTCCTCTACCGTTGAACACTCGGATGAATCCATAAAGGCATTGAATCGCGAATTAAAACAAACGAATCATTTTTTTTAAACAATATCGTTACAAAAAAATCAACTCATGAATCTCATATGAAAACAATGCAACTGTACTAATTTCACTTCCAAACTATAGTACATTTTCTTCTTCTTCCAAACTATGCAACATTGGACAGATCCGTTACGGACACTCGCTCACAGATCGAAACACATGTACATATGCTATGACTTAATATCACTTACAGTTAAGTTCTGGTATAAATTTGAACTTGGATTGATTCCGATAAAAATGGCTACATCTTGCTACCGTCTGTGGTCCCGGAGACTGTGGTTAGCAACAAGAACGGAAAAATAGGAGAATTACTTTGAAATCGATTTCTGTCAATTAGTTGCCGCCAATTGAACATTTAGAACCCCGTGGGGCAGACTACTTCTACTAATAAAACATCGGATCACTTTCGGGCTGCTTTTTTTGTATCGGTGTCCGCACACCACTTAATACTTAATTTGTAACGACGTCATGCCTGTGGCCAAAAATTTTGTTTATTACAAATTACAGATTGCTAATTGACAATGAATTTTTCATTACACTGTGTTGGACCAAAATATCATGTTGCCTTAGGGCAACGTTTCGTTCCATTTTTAAAATACCAATTTGTTAAAAAATATATTTTACATGACGTTAAATATAAAAAATGAATAACTTTGCTAAAGCTTTGTTATCGTCGCTGCTTCGAAAATCTTCACAACAACAAACAAAAATGACTTTACCAAAACCGAAAAAGAACAGAAGAGTTCACCGTTCTTTTATGTGACATTAACGTGTGGAAAATGACATAAAGGTCTTCTTCTTTCTTTTTGGCACGTTTTACAAACAATTGGGCACGACTGCCATTCGCTCATTATCGACGACCGGTTTTTCGATTTTTTTCCAGCGAAATTGATTGGGATATTTTGTGGGTTTTATTATTATTATTTTGGTTTACCTTCAAATATATGGTCGGTACATAAATTTATATTAATATAATAATAATAAATAAAGCAGCCTTCTCAAAACTCAAAATAGTTACACACACATTATATATATATATATATATATATATATATATATATATATATATATATATATATATATATATATATATATATATATATATATATATATATATATATATATATTTATATATATTCCATCAATCTCGGAAATGTGTAACTTTTTTGAGTTTAGAGAATGCTGCTTTATTTATTATTATTAATATAAATTTATGTACCGAACCATATATTTGAAGGTAAACCATAATTTTACGTCTGACTTGTTTATTGCATCCATTGTATACTGTGCATTGTTGTTTAAAACAGAGGCGAACGTATCTAGAAATGTCTTTGTCCCATTTCGTGTTAAATCGTTTAAATCGAGAGCTCGAGAACAATGCGATTCAACTCACGTCCTCGTGACGTCAAATCTAGAGATGCCAGGGCATTGTTGGGTCCTTAGAAAACCATTCATATCGTCCATCGGTATATAATGGAGCCCGCATTTAAGTCCGCGGAGGTCAATATAATAACTCGAAATTCGATTTTAGAAATTGTTTGAAAGATGACTCAAGTCGTGCCACTGTATTTGGTTACCGAGTACTCTTAAAAAATGATCCAATAAAAATTCCAAAATTACGTTACCAATTCTAGAGATCCCGATGTTATGTCTTGGCAAGCGACGCGAATGAAATTTGAAAACGCTCCAAATGAGGTTCAATATCGTGGCAAAACTTTTCGATGTTCGTTTGGCTCGAACAATTCAACTGCATTTGCGCGCGGAATGCAGATTCGATGAGTTTGAATGGTGCAATCAGCTCGGCAAATAATTGAGTTGTCAGCTTGGCATCTGGCACAGATTTCCTCACGATGTTTTAATGTGTAGAATATGAAAACGAAATCTACATATAAATAAATTTGACACCGTAATGGTCGAGTGTCCTTACCTGTCCTGCCCAAAGCAGCAAATATATATTAAATAACAATTTGTTCTCTGGTGCTTGTGTAGTGAGAATTGAATATGGCAGTTTAATCGTCCCAAAAAGTTTAGATATCGGTTTCAATTATGTGGTTGCCTAAGTGTTTTGTGAAGTGTTTAAAGTTTTGAAATTTTGAAGGTCGGATGGGCCCGGTTGGTATGTTTGTTTTTTTCACGCTGAGTACAAATGTGGTCATACTTCTTGTTTACGTGTTGGTCTGTGACCAAAAGGAAATCCTCGTCGGATGCCGGAAAATGGGCGAATGACCACAGCCGTTTAGCCCAACTGAGAACTAATTGTATTTTCTCTCTCTTGTTCTCTGGTTGGTTGGTGACGCTGTTTCTGTCTCGCTCTGTGTGTGTTGTTTCAAGAAGTTGTTGTAGAAATTAAGACTGTAATTTGTTAATTTGTAATTTTGCAGCGATACCCGTCTTTACAGTAAAAAGTGATATTAACTGATTGAGAAGAAGAGAAGCCCGAATACGCAAACAAATGGATAGAAACGCCACAAAGGGTAAACGCTGAGACCGATGCACCATTTATAACGATCAAGCTTTATAAATTATCTACCGCTTGCACAAACACAAGTTCCAAATGAAAACAAATTACCCGGCGAGGTAGGCAAAACTTCCAAACCGTGCATGAAGTTACTT